TATAGTTTATTGAATGATGTTTGGCGAATACTGGCGTCCATTTGTGTTCCCATGTGATATGTGTGCAGGGAGTTGATAAATGTTTTTTCGTTCGTCGTCAGCTTCTTAACTGGTAGGCTGCTATTTAACGAAGATAGGTCTTTCCGACAGAGCAAACGGCACTTAGGCCTACATGCATGTGCTGCCATTATCGTCGTTACCACTTAATTTAACTATTAGGACTATGCAGCCTTTAAACTTTGAACTTGGTTCATTTCAAAGTAAAACTTGTTCAGTATTTTAAATTGTACAAAAACGGTAGTTCAACCGGGGCCTGGTCTAACGACACAGACGCGTTTGCCGCCCAAAACAATAGAAACCATGGCAAACGCGTTCAACAGCATAAACCGGTTTAGACGCGTCTGGGACATATTCCGACTAGCTTATTAATATTCATGAGGCACGATAATTAGACGATCGCTTTCCCAGACGCGTTTGTAATACATGGTTTTCCCAGACGCGTTTCTGTCGTTGGGGATAATTTGTAGATTGCGCCTAACTTCAATGCTAAATTTCTGATTTTGTGGTAACAGACTCAATTCCAGGAAATAGAAAGATTCTGACAATTCTTTGACAGCAGCAAAAACAACTCATACTAGTACACTCCAGTGGAGATATAGCTTGCAGACCAAAATAAAATTTTCAGAAAAAATTTTAAAAATTAAATATCGTCATGCTGAAAATTAGAGTTTTAAGCATGAAACTGGGTAGAAAAAAGAAATTGACATCAATATTTATAATTAGAAATATGTATTGAAAGAGAAAGTAATATTACACTCACTCAAAACACCTGAACTGTTCTACCCTCAGATAAAATATTGCATAACAGTATTCTGAAAGATAAAAAAGCAAGCTATTTTAATAAAAGTTGAGAATTAAGTAGATATTAAAAAATTATATTCATAGGCAAGGGTAAACTGAGGGTAGAAAAAAATACCTTTACAGTACTTTTCAGCTTTAGTAAAGAGTTAAATTTATAATTTTCATGGACACATTTTTATGTCCAAACTTTCTTAATTAGTTCAGTATTCATGGAATTAGCATACCACACTGCATTCTCCTTCTGTAGCAGTTGTTGAAAATGCCTGGGACGGGTATCATAATCTATGTTCATGTTTCCTTTGGCCTTCACATACCTTTTTCTAATAAGAAAGCTGGTGATAAGGCCTTTTTGGTTGCTTCAACTAGGCTTGAATAGTTTTTCCAGCAATATACAAAATGTGTCTGCCTGTCTAATTTTACTGCTTTAAATGTCTAATGTTTGTTTCATCTAGAGTCAATGTTGATCATCAACTGTTATCTATCTATTTTTTATTTATTTTTATTGTGCCTTGTATCCCTTGGCATAAGATGTGTAAATTCCTGTATTTTATTATTGCTACTGGTAAACATCGTTACGCCAATTATTAGGAGGGTTAGCCACACAAGTACCACTTAAAAATGGCAGAAGGCCAATACCTGCCTCACATCCTCATACAAATAAGCGGAATGCCAAATAACTTTCTCCAAGTATCCGCAGCAAATTATTATGTCAGTTCCCTAAAATCTACTAATACAAATTATTAGATTAGTACAGTTGATACTCAACTAGTAATATTTATTCCAGATCATTGAGATGGCCATTGCTCCCCTATTACCATAGAAATACAAATTACTAGGAGTGCTAATATCCCAACCATTGCCTTTGTCTCATCCTTAGCAAGTAAATGAAATGGCCAATATTCTCCTATTAAAACTATCCCCTGCAAAAGACTAAGATACTTCCATAGAATCTCTCCTATAAATAATAAGGATTGCCAACACTCCCCCAGTATCTCCTCAAAATAATTGTGATGACCATTGGCCTCCTGCAAATGACTGGGAGGCCCACTATCCCCCACAGTAGTATCACCTCCCTCCTCTGTTCTAGATCCAATAAAGGCAATTGTTGATACTCTATTTTCTCAGTTCAGTTGATCACTGTCAGCGTGTAGTTCACATATTAAATAAATAAATACTAGTCAGATGAAATCAAAACAGATGAAGATAAAGAAAATATATCAGATAATATTTTAGAATAAGTCATATTTCCTGAGGAAAGAAGAATGTTGAAATGATAAAATTGTATATATTCAAATTGTATTCATTGATGGCCTTGAAAATTCTCATCAGAAGGAAGATAGATATTATAGTCTAAAATTCTTGTCTACAAACTTTTTTATCAATACTAAAAATCGACAAAAGAAAATTAAAATAGGTTAAATTCACTATGAAAAAATATGATTTATATTCTGCTACACAATATGGACACATTTACAGTATGGTTATAAAGTATATTTTATATTTAAAAATTGTGATCATAAATTTATATTCCAGACACTAAATAAAATATCAGTTATCTAAGTATAGGTTAAAACTGCAAATAAATACTCATTGCACATAGTTGCAGTTAAAAATTATTACAGAATTGTAATCATAACTTAATTAAGTAACATCACTACATTGTTTTATTGCTTACTGGTAATGATGTCAATGTACTTACTTGTGGTTTACTATATGTCCCATAGTTTTAAAGTCTCTACAATTTGCAATAAATCATTGTAATAACTTGCAATTCTGAATTATTGAATGTGCTTTTGGGGTTAATCTTTCAGCATATATTGCTTATGTAAAGGTCAGATATTAATTATTATATCAATTTCTCAGAATATTCTACAATATTTACCAAAACAATTATAAACTGAATATATTAGAAATTTCAAATTTCTGGACAAATTATTCTTTTCTATTATTACTGTATTCTTAGAAAACAATCCATGAATTTGGAATATAAATCAGGTCAATGTATGTGAACTTTCTAAAACAAAATATGTAAATATTGCTGATTGAATTAATGATTTTGTTGAGGATTATCTTTAATGCATACCTCTGTGGTTTTTCATAAGAATGAATAGCCTAAACAGTCAACCATGTGAACACTACCAGTAGTGTTATTCTTATTTCTGATATTAATGAAAAGAGGTAGAATTAATTAAATTTAATGTGGGCTGTGAATTTCATGTCTGAAATTTAATTTAAAAAAAAAAGTATTAGATACATTGATGCTGGCAGAATTCATTAAGAAAAATATTTCAATTAACGCTCTAATTAATATACAAATTACTGAACAATAACCTACAATATAATTATGTTGGCAATTATTAATTAGGTGTATATTGAATATATTAAAACCTAAACAGCAACTTTCACGGAAGGGTCAATGCACAGTTTAGCCATAGATGTGTATAAGAGACAGTATATATATATGTCCATGGCATAAACCTGTGCGTATTTTATGGTTCTCGGCATACTTTGCTGGTCCTCAGTCGGTCCTCTGATGACTGTTTTTAGTCAGGGTCCTCTGGACATAACGTTAACAGGATGTGTGTGTGTGGGTGTTCGTTCTGTGGCTTCGAAGACGAAAGGCATTAACACACACACACACACACATCCTACACCAAGTACAAAATGAAATGAGTCACAATTCCATCCATGGAGGACACAACACCACAAGGCATGCACAATGTATTGAATTTAATGACAATCTGCCCAATGTCAAATTGTCACAGAAAGTGGTGATGGGTTCGTTGCTGATGTAGTACTGTATGTGCCTAGTTCAGGTCTATGGGAATTAGAAAGTAGGATTAATTTAGTTAAAAAAAATATGTCTTTCTTTATTTGTTCCACTTGATAACATATAACATACAAATAAGCAAATCATAACAAACTGAGGTAAACTGAGGTGATGTCAAAGTATTTTGAACCTACAAACCTTGGGATTACATGAACAACTTGCGTACCATCCTCCACTAAAATTAACCAAGACATGCAGTAAGTTCCAACAAGTGAACTTCAAGAAAAGTCCAATGCAAACAGTGTAGCTTGGTTAAACATTCCTTCTGCATACCAATACCGCAAACATTACTGAAATTTCCTCAGAATGTACCCACGATTAGAGTGACCAGTGACTATGAATGTATTAAAGTTTACAATTCATTGACCTTTACATTCATCCTGTGTGTGGCAAGTTCGTACTTGCTGTTGGTGTGGATTTGACATAAAATAAAATAAATTAAATTGTGTTCAAACATTGGTACGATTTGACGAGGTATAATTTTACTTTACAATGTATCACATAGAACTATGGGGCATAGCCATTTCATTTTGCAGATTTGCTACACAAAATATTAAGTCTGTTGATAGGGGCGTGCTTCCTACTACATCACCTCATAGAAACTGACGCAGACAGAAAGTAGACAATAGTTTCGTTGGCCTAACCACGAGGGTATCTATAACTGAATTGTAGCTCACAACTTCCAACTTGTGGATGACAGTGTGAAAGATCATGAGAGTGCAGCAGTTATTTTACGAATATTACGAAGTGAAATGATAAACAGGAAGTCATTGACCCTAAGTGAAAAATTTCATTTTCAATTTCTACTAAAATCAACTTCAAAGCTAGGCCCTAGGCTAAGTTACAATCTACTCTTCACCCCATTCAAGTGGCAGATTCAGATTTGTTTTGCTGGGTTGGCGAGAGAGGCAATTAACTTATTGTCCAAAGTGACATACACACGAGAAGAGTGCGATTCCTTACTGTATGTGGGGGGTCTGGGGGGCTATGCCCTTCGAAATCTCTAAAGTTTTACCCATTTTAATCTGTTATCTAAATGGTTTGACACCATGTTTAGTGATTTTTTTTTGGCTGCTTCTGAAAAGAGGAGTAATAATATGTCGGTCCTATATAGCACTTCATGCCTAAAGCCTTTAACCGCTTCACATATACAGGTTAAAGGTTATTTATTGATATTGCGCAAAATACGAGTCTCTATGCGTAGAACAGGTGAGCAGATGTAATTGGTTGGATCAAACACGTATGGCACACATACTCAGCTACCTGGGTAGAATTCCATAATATTGCAGCTAGTAATCAGCGCAGTTTTGTTTGAACCTAACAGGTACTCACATATTACTCCTGGGTAGAGAGAGGCAAAGGTAAGTAAACTATTTTGCCTGAGGACACAAGCAAAGCGACAAGCAAGACACAAGCAATGCGATCCTGAGATCAGCAGTCCAACGTCTTACGCGTTGCGCCACACGCCACCAAGTGGAGTGCCCCTTTTGGCATCCCTGGAACTGCTACTGCTGTAGGCCTAAAAAAAAGTACCTTTTAATCAATCTATGTACAGTATGAGTATGTGGTATAAAGCAAATATTGACCGAATATTATTGTGCCATGGTTAGGCCTAGATCAATTTGGTGTCATACTGTAGTTTGAACCATGCCCTTCAAAGCAGTCAATATTTGTATTAATATAAAATTGATAACACAGAGCAATGGCGAATAGCTCACGTCTCCATATCTCATTAACTGTAATCCCTATACAGAAGACACTCAATTACTGTTCCATGTTCAAAGAAATCCTACAATTGTCTTTAAAATTCAATTAACATGTTGTTCACTGCCCGAGAAATACTTCGATTCTTTTTTAAATACGCCAAGCCAGGCATAACTTATCTTGTAGGAAATTAAAAAAAAAAAAAAAAGAACACGAAGTGAACAAAAAAAAAACGCAGTATTTTATCTATCAACTTTTTATTATTTTAATATCTAATAAAAATGAAAAATCAAACCATTTGAACACGATAATCAAATTTGATCTTGACATTCTTACTCAGACCATTAATTCTAATTCCCTATATTTAATGGTGACAAAGGTTAGACAGAAAATGAGAATGTCCAAAGTACACTTACCTATATATATATGATTTTCCAGTATTTTTAATAACTATGTGCCAACACTACAAACTCTGTTAACAGACAACCTTTCAGATCATAGGAGTCGCCTTTTTATCTACAACAGAAATAATATTAACAACTAATAATATTATTATTATTAATATATTATTATAATATGAACTCATTATCATGATGGTAGTATTGTACTGTAGGTAGGCATTATATTTGTTATTATATTAAATTTGATGGTTTCTGTTAATGACATCATTAAAAACTATATACAGTATAAATAAACTATATATAAATAAATTAATACTGTATAAGGTAGTCACAGTAAATTACTGGTTTTTGGCAAGTAAACTTTCTACTATATATTGCGTTTCTTATTTATACAATTTTAAAATATATAAATAAATATAAAATATATTTAAAAAAATTAATATTCAGTAATAAAAACAGTAGAACTAATGATAACGATAACATATTTATTATGATAATGGTAACAATCATAATAATTCCTTCACAAGAATATTAGCAATATAACAATTCCTTTTCATAAATTAAAACCAGGAATGATGAATATTTCTACCATTAGAACATCTGAGCTAATCATAAGGGCCCTCAATATAAACACACTGATAATTACTGAAGTGTTGCACAGAATAATAAATGCATTTGGCATTCAAATCTGCCAGGCTGGAGATAGACAACATTATGTATATTGTCTGCTTTAACTATTAATTTAAAGTGAACCTGCTAAGCTTGACGATTTATGTTTACCATACCTTTAATCCCAGTTTTCTGGGTCCTAATTATTATGCAAAGGCCCTGAATATCAGCTGACCTTTCAGGCTACACTGGAAGGGTTTAACCGGTATAAATATGGTTAAAAAAAATATTGTAATTGATGAGTGGTGTCTCTTGCTATGGGTCAGAAAAAGAATTGTCAAAATGTCTAATAATAATGCTATAAAAAAAGGAAAATTTTTTTTGGCATTACATAAAAAAATGTAAAGGAAACTCACCTGTAGCACAGTACTCACAGCATCAACAATAACGGCACAAACAATCTGAAAGTGAATAATAAATTGTATTTATATGGTACTATACATGAAATCAATGTGAATCAACTAAAATAACATGACGGTGAATACAGCTAGGTATTGCAGCAGCATTCGTACCCTGCAGAGGGTTCCTGGTCAATAATGTAGCTTGCTGATTATTAATAACCAATTTAGATACTGTACAGTCATCCCATCAATTATTTTGAGGGGTTTATCATTTATGAATAAGAAATGATATAGTACTAACAAGTCTGACAATATAATGTATTACCGTAATTCACTGTTACTTGGTTATATTAAAAATAATAATGTTGGATTAACAGAAATGATATTCATGATGATACCTGTCAGGAATGATATTACTGATGATCCCCATCAGGAATGATCCCCATCAGGAATGATCCCCACCAGAAATGATATTCCATCACGATCTGCATCAAGAATGATATTCCTAATGTCCATTAGGAATGATATTCCTGATTATCTCCTTCAGGAATGATATTCCTGATGATCCCAATCAGGAATGATATTCCATGATGATCCCCATCAGGAATGACATTGCTGACAATCCCCATTAGGAATGATATTCCTGATAATTCCCTCCAGCAATGTGATTTCCATTAGGAATGGTATTCCTGATGAGCCCCATCAGGAATGACATTCCTGATGATCCCATCAGGAATGATATTCCTGATGATCTCCATCAGGAATCATATATTCCTGATGATCCCCATCAAGAATAATATTCCTAATGATCCCATGAGGAATCTTATGCCTGATGATCTCCATCAGGAATCACACATCCTGGATTATGATTCTCATTAGGAATGATATTCCTAATGATCCCCATTGTGAATGATGCATGATGATCCAGATCAGGAATGATATTCCTGATAATTTTTAAAAGGCATAATTAAGCCTTTGTGCTCCTTACATCGACAACATATTGAGAAGGGCAGTGATTTTGTATAGATAGCAGTTTGAGCAGATTTAGGGAGGGACACATGGGAAGGGATGATTCTCCTATATCTGCCCCTGGATCACTAATACCATTGTCTACTTTATAAAAAAACCAATCCAAAAAACCCAAATTGCTAATATTACTGTATCGATCGTTGACCTTATGATTAGTAATATGACCTTGGAATAAGCAATAATTTTCACAGGTTAGCAAATAAATTCTAAAGATATGTCCAGTTTGTGTTTTAATCCTTTATATTTGTATACTTTATCAATAGATTTCAACACCATTTTAAAATATAATTTATTGTCAAGTTTCAATACATTCTGTTTTATTTTGATAATAGACAAAAAAAATTATGATTAATAAATAATAAATTAATAATAAATTAATAATAATAATAATAGTTTAGCTAAATATAGGCATAATGGCACATTATATTCTGTGTTCTGATGTTGTGAGCCAGTCTACTTAAGGTGAATTGACACATATTTAAAGTAGGCCTACCATAATTTTGATGTTTATTGTTTCATTTAATATTATTTTCTAAAAGGTTCTGGATTATTTAGTATTGATTACTTTATTAGAAATTAAAAATATACTTAATACTCAATAATGTAATAAAATTGTAATTTAAGGTGTCAAAATCATTTATGTTGGTTTCTTTAAAAAACAAAATGGGCAATTCAGTGTGTTAATCAAACTTTTTATATAAAAATAATTTTATTTTATTACTAGGGAGAAGTATCATATACAGGTAGGTATTAAGCAGTGTGAAAATAAAAAATAAAAAACAATAGAATATTTCACAGTTCATCTAAAAAAACTAATTTGTAATAGAAACCAGATTTCACAAGTAGATTGAAATCCCAAAAGGTAAACTTCAATTCCAATATGCAATGAGAATTTGGAGCAAATATGAGCTAAATTTGAGCACCTGACTACTGTAGGCAGGATATTAACTAAAGCTACTTGAATTTCAATACTATATAGACGAAAAGACAGGAAGCAATACAACATCATGCAATGAACCCAAATATGACCTTGACATTAATTTCATGTGTATAGTATTTGAGCATCAGAATTATAAACAGTACTAGTAGAGTACTCACGTACAATAATAATATAAAACAAAGTCAACTTTGTATCAGCAGAAAAAATATTATTACTACAATGATAATTTGATAAATTATAATTACTATTATGGTATTATCTTGCTTTGCAAAACATTTTTGACTAACTTTTACAAAAAAAACTAGAAATAAATCATTATAATCAACTCGTGTTGAATTTCTCAATTAATAAATGCAATTATTGGAACTTACCATTTTTATTATGTTTCATTGTTTTTTAAATATTTGTCATATAAATTATTACCAGCAAAATAATCAAACGTTTTATTAATTTCAATAGGGTTACAAACATTTCAACCACAGCCACCCACTGAGGTTCTGACTCTCACGGCTGAATTTTGGGTTCCAATCCCTTGCGGTGAATTTTGATTGTGCCTTAGTGAGCTGGAAACTGGGGCAGAGTAGGATTTGTGTAGTTACCGATCCAGAAACTAAGCCGGGCTCTGGGGCTGGGGAGTGTTCACTTGGACTTTCAATATCATTTTGGTGTTCAGTTTTCCTTTTAAAAATAATAGTAGGCAGAGCCGTATTAGAAAGGTATAACTATGTAAAATTAAACACTGGTTGACTAAACTATGGTAGTTAGTATACTATAAGCTTTTGCCAACAAGCTACGCTGGCTTCATCAGGTGCAGGTTTTTTAAAAATGTAGTGAATCTGTTTTCCTTCTAAAAATGGCATCATACCCCAGATGCACTAAACTCCGTAACCTATTGAAAGATAGTCCAATCTGTCACTGGTCAGAACATTTATGGTTTTTTCGCACCCAGAAGTGTGAATGTGCTGGGTACTGTATGCTGGAAGGATAGTGATAATAATTAATGTATAATCTTCAGTATTAGTTCCCAGGGAGTGGAGAAGGTTGTACATTCTTCGCAAGCCAAATCATGGATCCAATGACGTTGCAACCATTTATGCTCAGTCTTCGATAAAATTGCATAGAGATGCCATAAAAACCATACACTTCCAAATACATATTTTGTTGTTGGTCGTATTGATACTGTAGTAGGTCTTTTTTTTTTAATGACCCGACAGAAATAACAGATGTTCCATCAACAACACCATCAATCTAATATCTATAATTACTTCTGACAATATGAAATGTTATTTTTTTTCAAATCCTTATTTTGACAGTTGATGGAATTAAAAAAACGCAACATAATGAGATTTGGTTACGATGACACTAACAGTAGGCCTAATGTTAATACAATTAATCACATTTTTCCATAGGATTCAAAATTCTAAAAAAAAACCGATTACTGCATTTTATTTACACTGAATGTCGTGCAAAATGACATAATGTAATGCACGGTCCATACTGCAAACAGGAGAATGACTTAAACTTCTCTGACGAAAGATTATGCAGATTCAAGGGGGTGGGACCAGGTAGGTAGTCCCCCCAACCTAAATTTTCAGAAAAAAAATAGAGAAGGAAAAAATATTATCAAATTGAAGTCTATGAGTGCCATTTTCGACGATCAAGGTGCCATCCATTCAATTTTATACTTTAGCTGCAGCCATGTTGTGGCTGAGGTGGCTTAGACCCTCCATCTTTTTTTATAAGTCCCCTCCTAGACCCCCTCTATTTGAAATTCCTGGATCACCTACTGTCATATGAAGAAAAGGTCAGGAATGTGTTTATATTTTGAGTACCACAAATGATTACATACACGAAGAGATATAAATCAATGTGATTTCCTATCCTTCAAGCATGATGGGATACTTTAGGTCTAAAATTAGCAATGATGTTGATAATGTATGTTAAACTCATGACCACAAAGACAGTGTTGCTGTGTACAGACAAAATCACACGTAGAAGCAGCAATGATGTTGAACCTGTATAATAAACTCATGACCACAAAGAGTTGCATGTGAACAGAGAAAAATCATGCGATTTCCTGTCCTTAAGGCATCATGGGATAGGTAAGTGTCGCACAAAGAGTTGAATATGAAAAGTGAAAATGCGATTTCCTCTCCTTGAAACATGATGAGTATTACTATTCTGCCTTGTGTACTATTGTTGTTAGTTCATTTGATGCAACGAAAGTCAATAAATGTTAATTTGAATTAAAATGAATCAAACTACAGGGCTGTGTTCAGACATTATATCTCCAGGCAACAATGTTACTTTACACTACACATGTATGTTTCAGAGAACAAAGCATTCTTGTTATATCATATCCCCTAAGGTTTTTTTTTTTTACTTATAGTCAGGCTGATGTTAGCATTTTTATGATGAAAAATGCCAATTTAGTATAAATTTATTTCATTTTGAACAGTATATTTTATACTACTTTTAAATACTATATGACTAACTAATCAAGCACCATGCTTACTTAGCACTGTGTCTGCCTAGAGCTCTACGTAAATATTTTCCTAGCTAAGAACGTGTGGTGAAATCTCCTTTTTAAAATAGCAATGTCCTACCCTGTTCCTTTTGAAGGCCTAGCTAGAGTCTACAGTATAATCACAATTCCACTTGGTGGTCTTACAAAGGGCAACTCGCTTTCAACAAAGTTACTCTTATAGACCTGTCATTATCATCTACTTTTTCATAGTTTTGAATCATACTATTACTAAATTATTTTGTACTCAATGGCTTGTAAAAATTCAACTGTTAGATATATTTGATCATTTGATGTTTTATGACTGTAAATCATGTTTATAATATTTTAAAACACAATCGTACGGCAATAAACAAGAAAAAAACCTATTCCGATGGCATTCTGCGTCACAAGAAATAATACGGATCGATATTTGCCCTACCTGACATGTTTAAAGCACTGAATATACAGTAAAGTACTGTATGTTTCCAAACGCTTGCAAAAAAAAAAGATTTAATATGCCCATTGGAATGGCATTTCAGTACTCACTGCTACTTGGGGGTCAGATTCATCACCAGCCATCAAGCGCAAGTGGTCAAGTAGACACCAGGCTAGTTATCTGGAGGTCGTGCGTTCGACTCCCACCCGAATCACAATTTTTTTCACAAGAATATGGGAACATACTGAGCATTCAGTAATACATACAATTCAGGTAGAGCAAACATTGACTGGTTAAAGGTACTGTAAACCTATAAAAATTGACATAAAAAGCTGAACTATACATTAAGTAGGTTGTCGATAGTCAAAATGTAACTATTAAATATTAATTGAAAAATTCCTAACATTGAGTAAATTAAATTTGTTTTTAATAGTCTGAAAATATTTTTGATATGAAGTAAATGATTTATAACTGATGAAAAGAATATTAGACAAGGACTCCGACACATTGTTTACTTAAAAGGCGAGAAATGTTTATTCCTTGTTTTGCGAACTTATTTTTTTAAAGATCATCAAAGGGCAGCAAAAAAATAAATAAAAAATAAAATTTTGTTTTCGTATTTAGCAAATAGTTTTGCCGAAAACATCCAGACCTGGAGGAGAAAAACATTTTTTTTATTGGTGAATGTAAACAGTGTAGTAATGGGATGGTTAAATGCTTTAAATTAGGAAGAAATATACGTATTATTTTTGCACATTTTTTTTGGGCAAAAATTTAATTTAATTTTTAATCTAAATCATCATTATTGGTGGGCAGTGGGTTTGCTAAATAAGGTATAAAAAAGTGTTGCCTAGCAATGACTGAAAGCAAACAACAGACTTCTTTAAAAAAAAAAAAAATCAATATATAAGGTACTGGACAACAACAAAAAAAGAGAATGTTAGCAATCAGTTGGCTTACAAGAAATTAAATGTCTTCACGACATGTTTTACGAGATTACATCAAAGTTAATATGATCAACACTGCAATACAGGCCAGGTCAAGTAAGTTGATCATGGATGAAAGGTGTCCCTATAATCTGACATTTTGCATATGTTGGACTCAATCTTCTGGCCTAGCAATACAGTAGTATCCAAAAACTGTTTTTAGGAAGATTATTGGAAGTAAGTTGCCTTGGTTACTGTAAGTCAATGACCGATTGGTCAGCCTCTGCTTCATTTCTAATGTCTTTCAAGGGTCTCTTGTAACATGGTTTCTTTAGTTCATGAAAAAATGATTCCCTTTAGCAACTTCCACGACAGGGCTACGTTACTACAATATCGCGGGAAGTCTAACGGCAGCCGCAATACAGGGGTTACGCAGAGTTCCATCTAAGGCCTAGTAATATTACTGTAGTATTTCCGTTACGGTGCAATCGGAAGTGTGTCTGAAATGAAAGCGGGTCACATTCCTACAATATTACTCCTTAACACTTATTCAGCAATTTTCTAGAAACATTAAACAATAAAGCACGCCCTCAGTATGTGATGACTAAAAAGACTAACCGAGGAAGGTTAAAGCTGGGGAAACAAACTGCAATGTTAAAAAAAAAGACAATTTAGACTGATGACATCATATTTTCACAGAAACAATTTATTAGGAAGTTAGGTGGGTGGGGAATCAAGACAAATCTTCATTATAAATCAGAATTTTTTCTTTACAGGAAATATAACGATTTAATTTACATATTCATCACCTTGAACATATGGCCAATTAGAGATGTATTTTTAGTTCCAAGACCTTTCTGCCCTAAAATTAGAAACGCTGCAAGACTACAGTACAAATATCAGTGTTGATTTAAATTTTGAAATACCGATAGCAAATTTCTCAAATTTGATTAAAATTTAATTATCTTTATTTTTATTTCATTTATTGTTGCATTATTTATTTATGATTCTGAACTTGTCCACTGCTTCTTTTGATTTGTTTACTTGTTCTGTGCTTGGGTTAGGCAATTATCTTTGACTACCTGTGGGATGTGAGGTGCCTAAGTATGTGCGGTGCAGCACTTCGCATCTGCAAAGAAAGACGTTTTATAAATGACCTGATTGGACTGGATTGTAATTTATTCAAAAATAGGAACACTGTCAATAAATTATCCAAATGTAGAATATGGAATAAAAAAAAATACACATGGTACATACAAATGCCTACTTTTTAAATTCTTGAAAATTTGACAAAAATCTGAAGAATGGGATATTTCATGAAAATTCAGGAGACTCCAAATCCAATCAGAAGAGTTTGGACGACTGTTTATGTGAACAGTAAGACCCAACCCCCACCTCGACCACCTTTAACAACAACATGAAGAAAAAAATTAAGCTTACCTAGAGCACTGCTGTTTGCTGATATTTTACAAATCAACAATCAATGTACAGGGGGTGAAGTGTACGAGTGGACCAACTTAAGACATGTCGAAGTGACAATAATAGCGTAGGACAGACAAGGATGGAGATCCTCATGTTTGGACAAGCCATCACATAAGTAGGATGAATAATAATCACAATAGAAATGAAACACAATTATCATGACATCGTAGCCATGATTCATCAAATAGGATTACATGGTATGTTTAGTGCCTGGCTCTATTAATTATGTTATATTCTATATCACTGTCCCATTGTTTCTAGCTTGGCCAATTAATGGATAAATATGAATTTAATTTTTATTTTTTTATTTGGTATTCATATAGCACCTTTAATCCATTACAAAATGCAAAGTACAAGAAAAAAAGCAATTATGCTCCATTAAATAAAATATATCACTTTTGTCAGAATCTAAAAAAAAAAAAATCATACAGTTAAAAATGGCAGTGTAGATATTCAGAAAATTCCAGCAACTCCCTCCTGAAACAAGTATGAAACCTACAGATATGACCCAGGATTGGTCACAGATCAATTTCATCTAAAATATACTATAGAAATTTATAAAATATTTTAGTAGGCCCAAGTGAGTGATAGGTCTGATTTACTGTATACGCAATTGTGAGATTGTCAGTTCAAAACCGATCCTGGACACACTGTTGTGCAAGACACTTTATCTACATCAGTCTCTCTTCACCCAGGAAAATAAATGGGTACCTGGTGGGAGAATAATCCAACTTGACATTGGCAGTGCTGTATAACATGCATGACTTGGAATTCTGTCTAAGGAGCAGGGGAGGTTGCATGTTGTGTACGATTGATTCCGTATCCAACGAACCGAGAAAAAAGCGCAATGAGCAGTTTTTCTGAAATAAATATCAGCACTCTAAATCATATAAAATAATGAATAATTCAGATGAAATTCCTATAGAAAATGACAATTTATCCAATAATGAGTAATATTATACCGTAAGGCCTTGGATAGAAGCCTGGTATTCATCTTTTTTTTTTTTTTTTTGTAAATAGCTTCTTTTGAGGCTATTTCGCAAACTAAACTAAAGAAGACGTTTCAATTCGAGATGGGATTCTTCTTGAGATTAAGCCCATTGGGCTTCTATTGGAGGGTTTACGGTATTACAAATGAGCCTGACAGCGTTCCATACAATAAGCCACTTCATAGTTTGAACTGTGGAGGGTTTACGGTATTACAAATGAGTCTGACAGCGTTCCATACAATAAGCCACTTTACAGTTTGAACTGCGCATGCCTATACTGAAGGTCACTCAACACGAGCACACATTTAACACACACAGCATTATCTAAGTGGGTACAACCTATGAAATCGTCTGAATTTTTAGAAAGGTATATTTAATACGAAGGCCTGTTCTTAAGATAAATATTAGTCGTAATACAAGGATTCTTCAAATTTTCAGACAATCCTGAAGGCTGTGCAACTACGAGGCATAGCCTATGGTAGGCCTATGTTGTGTGGGTTAGTCTTAGATGTTTCTTTATGTCAACTGACCTTCCGGGCAAGCAAAGTTCAAACTACAACAAAGTGGATTATGAAACATCTTTGGGCGGAGCTGCGATCAAAATACCTGACAAATAAACAGCAGCGAAGCACTATTGAAATGAAGCAGGACTATAGTGATTAAATATATAATATTGTTAATAACTAGGCCTAGGCCCCCTAGGCCTAGCAGCAGGCTAGCATAGGCAGCAATGCATGATGTAGCTGCCTAGCCTAGCTAGGCCTATCAATATCTCTGAGTAATAACAGCAAGAAGCTAGAATGGCTCGGCCTCTAACTAAAACATTTTTTAATTTTAACATATTGTTACAGTATAATTCATAATACTTTAACCCTGAACAGACAATGCCTGATTGCAGGCAACTTATGGACTTAGATGATTGGTTTCAAAAATGCGAATAAAGACACAATTTCATATTGAAAACTTACTATTTTCCTTTTAATTCTCCACACGGGTGCAGTCGAATTTGACCTCTGGAGTGGAGTGTGTGTCAACAACAAAACTCAAGGCGATCGAAGATCTAAAATCGGAAATGAGCCCAATCGCCATTTCCGAGATCACGTCTCAGTGAATAAAATTAAAACAAATATTGTTTAAAGACTTTTGCTGAATAAAAATAATTTATATTAATATAAATTATATTTTTAAATTTGATTTTTAAAAGAATTGATTTTAATAACTGAAAAGGAAATGTAGATCTAGGCCCTAATGCGCAAATTAAATTCAGGGTCACGCTACATGACCCATACAATTTTACAACGCAGAAAGAAGCAGACGACTTCGGAAGTAGAGCAGAAGACGCTTAAGTCAATTTTAGATCAATTAAAATGTCTTCAAACAAGAGAAAACAGAACAAACCACAACGATCTTTGGAACAGTGTGAACTAGATGGTAGGTTGTACAAACTGGAGTATATTTTTTTAAGAATTTCGTGTTTAAAATGATGAAAATATATGCAATATTACTTCAAAACTAAGTTCTTTTTTGCTTGGCTGGCTGGCTGGGCTGGGGGATGGAGATTTTGCCTATCTGTTCTGTCAGTTTATTTATTGTGGAATAAATTGGCCTAAAAGTTTGGGCACAGAATACAAAGTATATGCATTGTGCAGGGCCTACTTATCAGTCTGGTCAAATGTAGGTCCTGGGTATAATAGTCTGATTATAGACTATGCTATGTAAAATATTTTTTTATGACTTGCATTTGGGCTTGCATCAAATAATGGATTGAATCAGGACAGGAACTTACTGATAATGCTATTAAAGAAAAGTTTCTATTGCTAATTCATTTAAAAGTGTTTACAATCCTCTGACAATAGAGAATCCAGGTTGTAAACAACTTGCTGAGGTACCACAATCGACACGGAGATCCAGAAGGATAGTGAGTAAAATGATGTCAAGAAGTCCTTCACCACCGGCATCAACAAAACTCAAAAAGAAACAACAAAGTCCAAAGAAACCAAATACAAAGGTAAATTTTGTCACAGTTAAAGATTCATTAATGTTTCAGTCATATTCAATAATGTCTCTTTTTCATGATTTGATTGACTGAATCTTGTAAATGATTGCAAAAACGGTGCTTGCAAATAGGCAACGCATCTCACATGATATTTTTCGTTCAGCACCTCTCTTGAATACTAAAGCCATGTGGTGCTTTAAAAAAAAAAATTTCTATTTTGAATAAACATTGCGGCACTTAATTGAGCGCGCTAAACATGCTTTTTTTTTTGTACACTTGTTTAGTGAACCCGCCTCCAGCCAATATTAATGATTCCAATAAAAATAAAGCTTTATTCTGGCCGATTAGCGCACACGCTGCCACAAAAGAATTGCAATTTAAGATAACAAGAAAAGTTTTTCTTTATTTTTATTACACCTGCTGCTACTTTGAAATCTCCAAAAATAAGATATGTATATTTCTTTTTAATCACATAAATTTAAAGCATTTAACCATCCCATTATTACACTGTTTACATTCACCAATCAAATTTTATTTTTATTTTCTCCTCCATCTGGATGTTTTTGGCAAAACTATTTGCTAAATAAGAAAACTAAATATTATTTTAATATTTTTTTCCTCCCTCCTCTGACAATCTTTAAAAACTTAAGTTCGCGAAACAAGTTATAAAAAAAGTCTTGCCTAAGCACAGCTCTCAAATAGCCTGCAGCGCTTATGAGGAATATATTTTTATTTCGACGGCACTTAATCGAGAGCATATCCTGTCATCGGGACGCTATTAAATAATTGATTTCTGATGGATTTAATTACATTAGCTTTTCAAAAAATCAGACAGGCCCATGAACAACTCATTCACTGTAATAAGTGTTCCTCTCTTAAATAAAATTGCAGTGAATCCTTTCCAAAAATATATAAGCTCCACTGGCATTATTTGGTCATGGTACAGTATATGTTATTAACTTTTGTTTTATTATTATTTTGTAGAAGAAGCTATCACAGCCTCAGTCCAGTTCCAAGTCCAAGAAAGGTAAGCAGACAGATGATAGTGTGCTGAACGTGGACGTCTTAAGACGAATGCCAGTGACAGAACTCGTTGACAAGTTTGCTGCTCACTCTACGAAGCAGATCCCTAAAGACAAACAAAGCACAATAGTGCAGCATGTGTACAGCTGCCAGATGATGCCCCATAATTGCAGGGAAGTGTTCTGTGGCTCCGCCTCTGACACCATGCAGGAGATACGGCGCCATCTTCTCAGACACATTGGAGAACTTCTTACATTGACCAATTTAGGTGAGCCGTGGCAGCAAAATTCAATTAAGTAATCTATAGTCAATTCTATTTTTTATTTGGTCATCAGATGCCATCATCAGTTGTCATCATTATTACAGTATTCAAATATTTATTTATTAGAGCTATTGTTTTCAGTACTATTGTTTATTTTAGTGTATTATGAACCTTGGAATAAGGATAAGACTGGATTTTCTCTTGTCCTTGTTTATACGGCATACCTCTTGTAAATTTTCACCTTAATTTCTTTGACATTAGATCCTGACTCAAAAAAAGCTAAAAGTAATGTCAATATTACAACAGTGAAAAGGCAACCTTTGCAAGATGGTACGGGTAAATTCTTTTTTTCTCATTCATCAGCTAGTACCATAAATGACTCAATAAATGCTACAGCATTGAATGCTTTAGGGCATCGCTTATTTGAGAGAGGCACTTACACAAATGAATTACTTATTACGAATTATTGAATTGTTACTGTGAATGGTAACATGTGTAGTATAGGCCTACTGTATCTGACTTGATAAATTGTCAGTATTTTAATTTGAGAAATTGGTCATTTAATGGTGTTCCAATGATAGGAAATGTCAAAATTTGTTATTGTGTTTCAGCTTCTAAAATATCTCCAAAAAAGTTTCTCACTACACCAGAAGAAACAGAAATGGAAGAGCAACAAGACATCACAAAACAGGAGAGGAGGAGTCAAAGAATTTTAGCCAAGGTGTTGAATCGTGACGGTAAACCACAAGACAATGAAAAAAACAAGTTTACAATTATCCACTCTGATGAAGGTGTGAATGAACTTGTGCTTCTTCCTAAAGGAAAATTAATAAATCTTTCAAGTATATCAGACACAGGTGATGATCCTGAAGAATCAATAACTGCTCCCAGTGAAAAGACAAGGAATGTTGTTAGTACACCATTGAATAACATTGTAGACTTACCAAAGGAGGAAGTGAAACCAGGAAGACAATCAAGGTCATTACAAAGGAACATTTCTTCAGAGGTTATAATGGAAAGTGTTGCTGCCATTGACAACTATATAAGTGGAGAGATTGATGCTGACCAGATCGGCGCAGAGATTGTGGTACAGACATGCATGCAAGCTGCAGATGAACTGATTGCCGCAATGGAGACTGTTCCATTTAGTCCTCCACACATCGACCATCTTTATGCTCTTTTACCATGCAAACCTCTACCCATATCTTTACATACAGATTCTTCTGGTGTTCCGATCCCAGAACCAGAGCAGTCCAACCATGAAGGTCCTGAATTTTCACAGGAGGAAGTGGTAGAAGAATGCCCTCAAGTGGATGAGGTTCCAGTTAAACCTTCTACAGCTGATATAGAGAGTGTTGAGATTGTGACGGATTTTGATATGGATAGTGTTTGTCAGGATATTGATACTTCACGAGGTAAAAAAAAAAGAAAACAGGATCCACAGTTAGCTGTCATCAATTATGAACTATTCCAGCATTTAACACCCGACGAGAGAAGAATAAGAGTAAGTAGTCATGAGCGCCAGTTTAAATTTCTTGTACATTTAGAGGCTGAATAAACAGCAGGGACCCCAAGATAGGAAAAGCCATTTCAAGGAGATATGGTTTAATTACCTTTGAATTCATGACACATCTATATACCTATACCAGAAATAAACCCATATAACCACATTTTTGAAAACTTTTTTCTGACAATTGATGTATTCCATTGGGATTTATCCGTTGAGTATGTAAGCCACATTATGTACAATCTCAACAAAGTATTTCAAACATTAAGTACAAACTCAACGAAGTTATTTAACCAACCAAATATGTAAAGTACTTAACAGATTTTTGGTTGAGCACAAAAATTCCCATTCGAATGCGACAATTGTAGTGAATATGAAACCAAATTAACATTATCAAGTTGAATATGAAATAACAAGTATTTGGTAATTTAGTACTTGTGAGACAAATGTTTTCAGCCTAATTAGTTTTAATTTTCTATAAATAAAAAAAAATAATAATGATATTATTTACTTCTATAGAAACAAGCTTTGGAGCTGCTTTATCAGTCTCGCAAAAGAAGTCGGATTAAAAAAGGTGAATTATTGGAGTGCCAGATATGTGGTAAGATGCTGACTGCCTTTGGAACGCTACGTGCCCACTACAGGAGCCATGCTGGTGAGTTAATTTACATTCTCTAACCGTCTGTTCAAGCCACTTTCATCCTTCTGCATTTTTGACCTCCATCCTTAATTGATGCAATGTTCTAAACACAGAAGATATTTTTTGTATAGTGCATTTATTTGGCAGATTATCAATAAGTGTTTTTTCTGTTTTAATTTAATTTTTTTTTTTCAGGTATCAAACCGTATTCTTGCAAAGTATGCTCAGCAACATTCACCCGCCTGCATAGCCTTAAATATCACATGATGATTCACAATGATCAAAGTCGGTTCACCTGTGAGCATTGCGGGAGAGAATTCAGACACGCGAGTCATTTCAGGGAACACTTACGACGACACACAGGTGAGGAACCCTTTGGTTGCACAGAATGTTCTGCTCGTTTTAAAACCAGGAACACGTATAAGCGACATCTGTATGCAAAGCACGGGAAAGTTTTACGGACTGATGGAATTCACTTGGCAAGAGTTCACCAGACAATGGGTAACAATAAAGTAGCTCCAGATACAATATATCAACAAGATACAGTAGTTCATGACACAGCCTTTCAAAACCCACAGACACAAGAATTTGTTGTTCCGTCCACGAGTGATTTTACCACTTTTGCTCAACAAATCGTCAAAGATGAGCAAGAAATTGTTTCGCCGAGTCAAGATGATACAGAGGACATTGCCTCATGTTTAGCATCGCTTAGTGAGATTACAAACCCACTGAGGGACATGGAGGGCAATATTAGGATTCTACTTATCAATTAATATTAATTAATACATGGTCTCATAGTTTCAAATGCACATCGATGGTCGATGTGGCTAACAGCTTAATTTTGCAATATTTCAGTTGTTGAGCTTTCAGTACATTGTTAACAAATACTGCGACCAATCTTCAAATACTTGCTTATTCAACAACAGGTACTAACTATCTTAATTAACATAATTCATTGAAACAAACTTTTAGTAGCATTAAGTATTTCTTGAAGGTTTGCATATCAAATAATAAAATAATAAACTTTAGGTGTGTGTAAGAATATTGTTTTTGGGATAAAAACTATATTCTTACACATGGTGTACCGAAAGTTAAATTATTTTATTATTAACTAGCTAAATATTTATAAATTAAATTAAATATTCGTAACATTTTATAAAATGCAGATGAAGTACACCTGAAGTTTTTATTGTGTGCATGTGCCTTGAAACTATGCGACAGCTTTTTAATATCAATACACAACAATAAACCAAAGATTACAAAACTGTTATTAAAAACAAAACAGATTTGAATGGTTAGTATTCTTTAGTTTTCGGCATTATGTGATATTACACACTCTAACCAGAACCATATTGTCCATAGCTCTTCTGAATGCCTATGATACAGTACACGAGTAAATCTACAGTAACTATTAATTTATATATTATTTATATTGTTTCACTGCATATTGAGCATAATTTACACAGGTAAAACAATAAACAATTTTAGCTGTTTCACAAGTATAAGTCTTCCCCTGTTTTTAAGACCACAGCTTCCCCAATTTTTGAATAATTTACAATCAAAATACTCCATCCTGATAATTTATTTACATTTATAATGATGTTTACATTTATCCTGAGAACTAAACAATGTCAGCGCAACAGTAAAAGAACAATGTAATTACAAGATGGAACTACTGTATATGGTGCTTTTTTTGAAAGCTTATTACGAGGCTAAGGGAGTTGTTATTAGTTTATACCTATTCATAAGACCTTTCTGGGATATGCTGATATGGTGGCATCAAAATTTGACAGTCAACAGCGTATGTAGGTGAGAACGGGCTCAAGTTTGGGAATAATTATGAGGTCTAAAGGCCAACTCGGACAGCGTCATACGACACAATGCAATTCATCATCAGGGACAGTCGTGAGAAATATTAAACATGTTTAATATTCTACGATGCGACTGCCCCGATACAAACCATCACGTCTGAATTTAACTTGCTTGTGACCTTAGGCAAGACATTTTATCTACGTTTGTCTCTCTCTACCCAGGAGTATAAATGGGTACCAACATATGCTGAGAAGATAAAACAGACTGCTGTGCATGAGGAGTGGTGAACCCCCACAGCCTTGCACAGTCTGGCCCAGCTGCCAAGGAAAGAGAGATGGGCACTCCTGCCTGTGAGCCCAGAGCTTCAGGTTTCAACCTTTACATTTTTTACCTTTGGCCCTTCGCCTAAAAATTAAAATTAAATTACAGTCCTGGTTGAAACTGAAATATTTAAAATAGAGTATAATTATTAAAACATAATTGGGCTTTGTGTGAAATGTAGCTTAATTGAAAATGTTCCAAAAATTGACTGTAAACCCAAGCATCCCAGATCACTGAGCTCCAGGGGCGGATTGCTATGCAGTGTGTAAGTGTCTTATTGGGACAATGATTTGAATGTTCTATCCGTTCTGAATCCAAAAGCAAACTCTTGTGTGTTTAATGCATGATATAAAACACATTTGTAGAACAATCTACTTATCATTTGTTCAGGTCATTATAATCATAGTTTATATTATTAATATTTTGTGTACAGTATATCATTTAAATGCTGCTTTGGCAGAACTTTTATAATTATTGTGGAAAGATATTAAATGAATGTTGATATTTATATTGGTAATGTACATCTTTATTAATCACTTAATTCATCAATTAAGTTGTATTTATATTAACAATGAATATCACCAAACCAGAGCACAATAATGACCACCAGGAATCAGTTACTGCATTCTACAACATTTATTTAAACCAACTGCCATAATCAAATTGTCAAGCCTATCCAAAATATGATACCACCATCTCAACATCACTTTACCATACTTGAAAGTAATGAAATGTGGGGCTATTATACTATAGAATATACAGAGAACATTTATTTCCCTGTTTGTATCATTAAAATAGACATACCCAGGAAAAAGAGTACAGTATTTATTTTCATAAATTACTTATTTCCAATGTTATTTTTTTTTCAATAGAGATAAATTTCTCTGACAAAATAACATCTTAGCTTTGAGTTCATACATCATATATTTTGACATGAATACAACTTACAATACTATGCATAGCATATAGGAAACCCACACAAATTATCTGATTAGGCAATCTCTTCAGTAAAACATGTCTTAATGATGCTGTGCCCTAAAAATACTGTATTCCAAGAAGTACTAGAGGATTTGAATACATTAATATCAGTAAAAGCTTGACACAAACATTCCAAGCTAAACATATTGTTAAATGGAAATTATTGCACATAAAATATTAAGGCATACAATTAAATCTACACTAAAGATCAAAGGTCAACTATACTGATAGATTACCATGGAATAATTAATTTAAAATAAAAAAAAAATACCAGGAGAAATAAATGTTGGAAACATGATTATGTACAGTCAATGATAGATGTACAGTCAATGTATACCGCAGCCATTAGGATTAGACACCAAAAAATAAGGGCACCTACTATACTACACAAATTAGGTTTATAAAATATAAGGGAAAAAATAATTAAACTATAGTTTTCTTCTTTTTTTCTCTGTCTCTCTGTTCACATATTAATATACCTAAAGAATACTATATAATAAATCATACTACTTTTACTCTGGTTTTCTGACTTATCCGGTGGATAAATTATAAATACTTCTTATTCTATTCAAATAATGTCAAACAATTTAAAATGAACAAATTTAAAGTTGATAATTAAGTACATTTATATTAATGATGATTACAATAACTTACTACTCAATGTGGTATTAAATAATTTTGTTTTTTGCAATGCAAGGTAGTCAACATAATACCATAAACAATGATTTCAAGGTAATTATTAAATTTAGCCGTAACAGGTTATCCTTGTGACAGCTGGTTAGCTGACCCCCCTCACAGGATACGTCCCCACAGGTGGTTATCTATCTATCCCCTCCCCATAGCAGGTTATAGTATCTATCCCTTCCCCATAACAGGTTATCTATCCCTTCCCCATAACAGGTTATCCATCCCTTCCCCATAGCAGGTAATTCATTCCCTTCCCTATAGTAGATTAATAATTTACCAATTAATCACAGGTTATCTATCCTCTCTTTCATCCATTCCCCTCCTATAACATTGACTACCCTCTCTTTATAGCAATTAAAAAGGTACAGCAACTGCATATTGACAACCACCAACTTCACATAATTATTCTACATACATATATAATAATAAACATGACACCATGTTAGGTAGAGAAGAAAAAAGATAAAATCATAGAAAATGTATAGGTGCACACTGAAACAACACGTTACTCAGTAACAGTGCGAAGGACGGTTGGAAGGCAAGAGAAAATGATGCAGGATAGGAGAAGACAGCAATATGCATCATTTAATTAAACAAAAATATTACAAAACAACAAAGCAACGCCATTATAGATTTTAGCTGCAATTGAATGCTTTTAAGGACAGATAAAAGTATGTTTACATTATAATTCCTTTTATAGTATGCTAACACTATATTCATAAGAAGTCATTGTGTCAAAAAAAATATCAAAATGTTTGGGTAAAAAAGCACCTTTGTAAATAATTTCTAAACTATGATAGTAAACCTCTGTATTTTTTCTTAAATGAACTAAGAATTTAATTTATCGAAAGATGCACCTACGTAACCACTAAACACTGGACCTACTTTTAAGGTTGGTTTCCTTAAATCGCTACATTGTCACTACAGTTGTTGTACTGCTTAGCAATCCTCGACGTAATCAAGAAGGCTCCCCGAATCAATTGACCAATCAGGATCACCGAAAGCTGCCGGCGATAGCGTGTAGCAATTGTATGGAAACCAAGCTTTACACGATATTATTGACAAATTAAACATCAGTACCAAACATGTCATATGAAAATGATGGGGATAACGGGAGGGGAAGACATTTTAAATCAATAAACACTTTATACTACTATTGGACAGAATTACAATTGCATCAATTCTTAAAAGTGGAATAAAATCTATTACAAAATTTTAAAACTATTTCTGTATATTAGATTGTAATAATAACAAGGTGGATTTCTGGACAGTAAATTTATTAACTAAAATAATGAAGCAGAATTCACTACACAAAGAACCAATGAATTAGCAACCATTTGGAATATGTCATCACTATTGAATACTATTTAATATTAATTATATTATTAAAAAAATACAATGTTAAACCATTAGAGGAAAGACAAGAAAGAGTTCTCATTTATACCCTTTTCACAGTAACAGAAAATGTTTGAAATCTTACTTTCAAAAATTAGTACCAATGTAATTATTTTATATTTGTATAACATTGCGGTATCTCAGAAAATTTTGCATGGATTTGCTTTCTAACTATACAAACCCAGTTACAACTTTTTCTAGTTGTTACTATTTGCATTGCAGAAGCTACGTTAACAAAATTGGAAATCTACATTATCAGCCATTTGCGAATCAAGGTCAAAATCAAGTCTTTAGCCTCAAATAAAAAGCCAGTTTGTTTTTGAACCATTGATTAAACAAAAAATGTAAGACATTGAATCAATATTTAGAACATAATACCTATACAGCATTTACTTTGCAATTTAAATGGTGTTCAACTAAGATTTAAACATCTTTTTACGCTGAACAAGACAATGACGTACAACAGAAACAGGGGCAGTGGCAGGAAAAATAGAAATTGATTCATACCGACCTACGCGACAAAGCAATGTGCTGCTCAGATTATAATATTTTTCTTTATTTCCAAGGAACTGTTGTGCGACAAAAAATATTCTGACCAATTAGTGATTTTGGTCACTGAGCATGCAGACTGCAGAGCAAAGCATCAACAATGTGTGCATGGTTAATGATGTAGTGTGCTGTATTATGAATTAGACAGCAGAAGGCTTTTGTCGCTTTGTGTAAATAGGCATTTAGCCTTCTTCAGAGAGGGAAGAACGTACACCTAGTTAAACCATAGATAGGCTATATATCTATGAGGTTTATCTAAAATGCTGTGTTGTGTTATGGAAGATGTTAATAATGTAATGTGGTGGGTGACTTCACAAGAGTTTCCAGGCCTGTAGCCAGGTTCTTCCAAGAGGGGGTTTTCTGGGCGCGAGGTCCACAGTCAATGCCCCGGTGGGGTCGGCGAAACCCCCAAAGCAAGAGGATTTTTGTGCTTTATGTATCTAAATAATGCTATAAAAGCAGATATGTTTAAAAATGTCTGTGTCTGGGTGGGTATGCAGTGCATTAGTTGGGTTGGAGGACTTATTTGGGAAATTTAAAGAGGATGTTTCGCCAGAAGAGAGGGGATTTGCTAGAAAAAGGGGGGGGGGGGTTTCCTCCCGAACCATAAAAACCCCCTGGATACGGGCCTGATTTCAACTCCAGCTGGTTGATCTGGTATTACTGGAAGGTCCAACTTGCGTGTTACGTTCATGGTATGCTCAGGTACATCCAATGTGTTCTTCAACCAGCAGCATTGGAATGGAAACTTCAAATGTTACGTAGTATATGCTTGGGGTTCTCTACAGTCTCCCATCGTCAGTTGTTATGTGGTTTCGTTGGGGTCCATCCATATTGACTCTCGTAGCTCAGGAACCTACTGCTACGTTTTGCTACTTTTTTTCCTGGTAGAAATAAAGCAATCACAGTGAAACGTAAATTTTTTATAATTGAAGTAATTTATGAGTTTTAAAAATTCCATCAATTCTTTAAAATCATCATCGAAAAATCTTTAGACAAGAGCACCCATAATACTAGTGGCATGGCATTGTGGTAACCTAAAACAATTTGTTTTAAGTTGTAATAAAATTCAATAACTTTATTGCTTACTTTTTAAGCAAGTTATTAGCTTTAAATTGAAAATTAGAAGAAATAGTTCCCTTCAGAAATTAACAGATGCACTTTTTTTGCAGACTTCAAATTTGTTTGTAGTAAAATAAACTTTTGTAAGAAAAAGAAAAGCTGGCACCAGATCAATTGCATCTTTATATCATAAAAGGCAAAAAAGTGAATGAATTAACATACAAGGTGCACTTTCGATTTCTCAAACTTAAAATGCTATAGTACTTACCTTGTAATCTTTGTATCACATGCTAAAATTCTAACAATATTATCACTAATTCTTAAACACACTTCTGATACTCTACTCTATTAATGTGGATAATTTATCAAATAAGAAATTTCTTAACAAAAATAAAAGCACTTAAAAAATGTCTTCATTTTATCTTGGGCATAACAATTGCTTCTGTTTTAACACATGATTTTGTATATAAAAGGAAACACCACAGATTAATCTCTTTTTATATATATATATATCAAGAGTTCACAGAAGTATATTGCAAATAGGGTAATGTTATTGTATAATACTACAGTGAATAGGCAAAACAAGTGTTAAGTAAAGTCACAAGCTAAAAGACAAACATGAGTAAAAACGACAACTTACGACTTGGTTGAGGAGGCATTGTGACTAGATTTACGCGAGCCAGTGCTTGACACAGAAGAAGCAGAGCTGTTACGTTGAGGGAGACCTGTTTTGAGACGCAAGACGGTTAGTAGCCAATATGCCCCAAAGAATAAACTAATTATCTATACAGTAATTATGTTTTATTAAAAAAAAGCATCATTACTATCTGGATTAGCATTTGGTTGCTCTATGATATGATACCAAGATAAAAGATGCCAAGCTAACTTTGGATTGTAATATACATAAGAAAAAAACATGTAGTTAACATGCATCAATACTGTACAGAACATTTAATATTATTATAACTATGAGGATTGCCACCCAAAAACCAGCGTACTGCCGCTAAATATTAAACAGAGTAATTAGCATAACAATGTGGCAGTATTGTATACTTTAGTACAGAGAAGCTGTAATACTTTTTCTTATAATTTTGGCAATTATAAGTTGATTTCAATAAATAACCTATCATTTTAAAGCTTTAATGTGGAGATTATAAATATATTAAAATGTATTGTTTTGGTCACTGATTCTGGTTTTAGCATGGTAAGCCCCATATATGAACATATTCTATCAATGTATTAACAAGATGTAATAAATATAAACTGTAATATATTTACACATTAGTTTTTATTTATTATCTAGTTAACAATATATATATATATATATATATATCTATCTATATGTGTTATTAGGATGTTATCCAACATTAGTATTAATGTATTGATTTAAAGAATTTGGTAAAAGAATGAACAAACTAAATTGATATTCATATGACAGAGAATAATATGTTGTTGTTGATATATCTCGCTGACTTAAGGCTAATAAATTGTCACATGAAATTGTTTGTTCAAAATACCAACATCCTGGACTATAGTCATTGGCTAAAACATGTATGTACAGTACAATGATGTTGCCTGACTAAGGTACTATATGTATATTGGAGCTTGTCTTATCAAGACAGAGAGTGGGTCACACTGACTTCAAGTTGTACTCTGCCTACCTTGCACTGGGCTACTACTTGCTACCCTGCGTACTCCACTGGATGTCGTATCTGACACTTTTCTCAATCTGAAATTGGATAATAAACATACGTGTAAATCAGGGGGGAAAAAAAGAAATAAAAGGCAAGTTAGTGGTGTTAGTAATGAATAAAGCAATCTGCTACTTTATTAATAGTAATGATGATTTTGATAATATTTGTGATAAAAGTTATGATGTTAGTGTCAGTGATGATGATGATGTTACAAATAATAATAATGTTGATAGAATTACTGTTGCAAGTTATGTTAATGATGACAGAATTGATGTTGGTAATGATAATATTAATGATAATAATAATTATAGTGATGATGATAATGATCATGATGATAACAATGACGATGATGATAATCATTAGTATACTACTTATGTTGTCGATGATGGTAAATATGTTAATGATGATAATTATCTTCAGTAGGATGATGATGAATATATTGATAATGAATATATTGGTGATGAAAATGAAAAAGTGAATTAAAGTGTTTGTGATAAATCACCTAAGTGCAGGTGAGAATGATATATTAAAATTAACTATATTATTATGATGTAATTATCCATATACAGTAAAAACTCATTACACACGTCTTATCAATTACACAAAACAGTCCTTTGGACGTTAAGACAAAATAAAACCATAGGATTATAAGATAAATAAACCTTCCAAGTGTCAACAAATTAAAAAATTACATATCCCTAAATACATGAGGACTGAATGATCAACATTTTAAAGTACACTTTAAAAAATTGAAACATAATCTATGTTGATTTTGTTATGCCATGAATATCACAATCATAAATATTTATGAGCATCTGGTGACAGAAGCCAAGATTGTATTACGTGCTACTGATTCAAATTTGTAATACAATTCGAGTTTCAATTTCAGTTCAATCCCAAAGTTTGTTTCCTGTTAAGGCCTGAAGTTAGCACAAATGTTAAGCAGCTTTGATTGCCATAGTAGACAAGGCAAAAACAGCATCACACAGATACCAAGTCTATAAGGCAGGAGCTGAGGGCTGAGGATAAGGCTTAAATGAGACATTGTCCTCTTCATACGGAGTGGTGGTAGCCTTCCAGAAATCGAGACAGCCAGTTCCCTTCTAAAAATTTACTGCAAACTAATTATCACCATGCACAGCAAGTTAAAGAAATGTGTTAAGAAAGTTCATTTAAACATATCTCCCAGAAATGGCTTCTTCTAATTTGAAAGCCCTGCCTCACCAGCTAAAACACATGAAATCAGCAAATGAAATTGACCAACAGCCCCAAGAATTTCCAATGATTAGCAGACTGCGTACAGCCATTTACTTCCAGATAAGAGGATCTTTTACAATGTTATTTAAAGAAATTCTGAGGGACCTATCAATAAAAAAACTATGTCAATTTACACAGGAATAGAGTAGTTATAATTGACATGAGTATTAGTATGTGTGAATTCCCTTTCAATTTGATTCTACACTAAACTGTGGTGAATACACGGCAAACAATACAAAAAACAGTAATACTATAGATGAATGACCCTTTAACATGCTTTTATATATAAATACAGAGCTATGATAGTGAAAGATGTGTGAATCTGTAAATTGTGATGAACTATGTGGCAAGTCAGAATGTATTTTTGACCTGTTAAGAGCAGAAGGTGCAACTATCATGCCTTCAGAACCGGCTCTTCTTCTGATGCTGAAAATGCATAACACGCTTACAGTTAAACATACACAAAAACATACACTATGGTCAACATATACAAGGGGTCAACATAGGAAATAAGTTATCCATTAACATATTTATATATATTAGGAGTTGTCAACTGATTTTGATGGCACCAACTAATGGCATTAAGTGAATGTTGCAGGACATTCACATATCCCACCATTATTTGGGATGATTTTAATTTTGTTGGGTGAATTTTTTGACACTGAAATCAGGTTAGTGGTCCAGATTGAAATCGCTTGCAGGCTAAAATTTGTCTCACTTGCAACATTTGAAGACACTAATATATATGATAAATACAAATTATGGGGAATACTAAATCACATTTGAAAAACATATGTATCATAGGTTACTAAAACATTGTTGTAAGAATATGCACAATACAAAAACACATTGGAAAAACATGTATTTAGGATGATAAAAACATAGAGAAACAAAGATAATAGAACACAAGAAATACATTATCTTATTTTTATTTAAAATCACTTTATTTTGCAAATGGAAAAACATCACAAAAGCCTAGACCGTGTGTGAATAAAAGAACGCAAGGTAACAAAATTTCAATAAAACCTGTGGAAAAAAATATAAAGGGGAAAAAAATCGTGTCAAAACAAGGCCAAATAAATAAGGCCAACAATAATGGAAAGAGGAGAAATGGAGGAAAAAATGCCCTGAGGAACACTTTATACTGGGGAACAACATAATGACAAAGAAAACAAAATTGACGCTTGATACATCAAAATACTAGCTACAATCTGGGTTAAAGTACGCACTGCATGGTATACGAAACAGACACAGTAAGTTATAGCACTTAATAGAAATACTTGGCAAAGCTTGGGAGAGGCCTTTACCTAGCAGATGATATAGGCTGATACTGTTGATAATGATCATAAATATATGATAAAGATGATCATGATAATTATGGTAATGGTGATGATGACGAGGAAGAAAGGAGGATAACAGTGACATAAATATTGAAGGGAAAGACATGTTACAAAGGAAAAAGAGAGAACTGGGGGATCCAAAATGCAAATATTATACAATACCCTCATGAAATGATAAATATATTTTTAAAATACTAATAGAATGCGTTCATTAGGTCTTCTAAACACAATAGATCAACTTTTCACACAACACCATCACTACTACAATATCTTTCATGTAAATTATTTATCCCATGATGCATTATACTTGAAAGGAAAACCCATATATTTTACTGATTGAATAGGCTGACTTACTTTCCACTCGGTGATTCTATGTTATTATTTTCAGCATGTGGAGGAGATTTATGGCCTCGGCTGCTAGCTGACTTTGATGCAGAGGTTGAGTTGGAATGATTTACCTTTCCAGGCGACTTGCCAGCTTTGGAAGCTGAAAATGAGAAGGAAATCGCATATGTGTCAAGGATATCATTCCTGTAATGCCATTGGTCAAAGGTGTTGGATAGCCTGCCAGGGGTATAAAACGATTTATGGTCCATACAAAATGTAAAATACAGAAGTGGAGATTTAGCTTGGTCGTTAAAATGGAACACACACTATCAGATTCCGTCAGTTTCAACAGACAATGTTTGATGAGGGTTTATCTGATAAAAAGCAATGTCAGATAAGAAAGAGACATGCAGTGTTTAATCAGACATAGTTTAACAATGTTTTCTTTATCCAATCAATAGGGAGCTTCCGATTTGCACGACAACACAACCCTAGAAAGGATTCACGCATGCATGGCCATCCTACCTTCTCTGCACTTATGTAGAATTGGCCTGTGCTAAGCCAGATTTTTGCTTTAATAGGGGCTTCAAAAATTTGTTTTACAATTATTATTATTAAATTGCACCCTGGAATCCACCCGACAAGGAGAACTAAACGTTTTCGTATATGCACAGATGGAGTAAATTGTAAGAAGATCAACATACAAGTGAAAAAAAATGAAGCAAATAAAAACGACATTACCTTTGGTTGATGAGTGATGAGGGGGTGGCCCAGGTAGGATAGATGAGGAACTGGAATGCTTCTTGCCTGCCGAACTTGACACCTTGCTACTCTTTGACCCTAGTTAAGTAAATTAATCAAACAATGCTTGAAAAAATTCAACTATGTAAGACACATTAGTAGGTGCCAAGAATATGTAAAACTCAATGAAAAAACAAGTGTAAACTAGACACATTTAACTAAAGGTAAACGGACTCTAGATGAAAAAGTATTGTTGGTATTAATAGCATGCAAATTATCAACATATATTGCCCAACAATTTTCCGCTTTAATTCAATTTGAATATTTGTCTTTTTCTTTTTTGGGGGGGGGGGGGGGTAATCNNNCATCACACAGGGCTGATCCAAGCTATGTTTGAGCTAGTCATGTGTTTCATTCTTGAAATTCTGAGCTGCACTGATGACATCTAATAAGATCGAAACAGTACTGTCTGCAGATTGGAAATATTTATACTCCTCTACATTGTACTACTAAGGTAATACATTGTTTTGTAAAGTACTCTTATTTTGAATTTTTTATCAGATGCAACTAGCAAAACAAATTTAGTACAATTTTAATGTGCATAACAAATGATAAATGAACATGGTAAATGACTTACTGATTCCATTACTACTTGGATTTTGTCCAATTCAAATGACGCCTAAAAAAAAAATAACATTAGGAAAAAACTAGTCAATATTAAACATAATATGACCTGCTCCAGCCAAACCTGCCATTTGTTGCAACTTGTAATTTCCCACAAGCACCCAAAACATTTAAGAATCAGAATTTTGAAAATTTTCAAGTTTTTGCACTTTATAAAATAAGATATATTGAAAAGTATATTAAAATGATTTTAAAAAAAAAACAAAAAAAAAAAACGATTGATTTTTTAATCTCTGGAAGCTGCCTCTAACTCTTCTGAAAGATGCAATGGGTTCTTTAAAATGAACACAAGCCAGATGTACAGTATACTGGACCTCCCGTTTTAAGGTGATTATCTGAGAAGACTTGGTTCTACCAACCAAACCCTAGGAGAGGAGCGGCTGGAACCTGCGCCGATGTTAAGGCTGTAGTTAGCAGCACCCCTGCCTTACTGCTCGACAAACAAGACTCAAAATCTTACTGCTCGACAAACAAGACTTGAAATATGGCAAGTCTTGAAATAGCTGTTTTTTTTAAACGATGAAGATGAATTGAGGAATTTTGAGATTGATCAACATACATTTCTAATTGCTGATTTAACATCAATATCATTTTCCTGCAGCATCAGTTTCCTAGCCATGTACTCAAGGTCTTGTAGCATTTGGCGGTCCTTTGGCAACTTCATCTGTGACTTCAATAATGGCAAGAGAGTGCAGAATTTTAACCTGTAATAGAAATAGATGCATTACATAGTCATCCCCAGAGCACACTCTGCACCACTATAATGATCATTAATATTGTTATCAGGGCTGGAAAAGTGCGCAACTAGTTGTTGGAGGCAACCTGATTATCCCAGATGCATTATGGGGAAAAAAAATTCAAAAACATAAAATTTTGGGCTATATACTCTAGTGTACAGATAAAATTTGGTGCTGGAGGCCTTTTATCGTTTCAACTTTCATGGTTAGAGGCATAAAAATATTTTTTCCAGGCCTGAATGTTATTTAGTATTAGTTTTCTTTTTAGCAAAACCAATAGTTCAATATCTATAGGGTTAACCTTACCTTACATTTGGTACAGGATCTTCAGCTAATTCTAATACAAACTCATATAAATTTTCTTTAAAGTATGCCTTGGAGAAGAATTCCATTATATCTTGACACACATCAATAAACAGCATACGATATGAACATGATTTAGAACGACAGCAAGCTGTGATATAAAAATAAAAAAGGAAGACAATTGATTACATATATATCATCTAAAACATTCTATTATAAATTGAATAAATACAAAATAAGAATTTTTAATCATTAAAGCATTAAAGTCATAAATGTAATACAGTAAAACTGGCGCACTATTAAAGAAAGTTTGGGTGGAAAACATTTCTGAAAATTAATATAACAATAACAACAATATTTATGTAAAAGAGTACAGTAGTTGTGAAATTAGTATGTTTGAAGGAGAGGTTTACCAATTTTATATAAGTAGAGAACTGATTTTTCATACTCAATTACATATTATCCCATTTTAGAAATTACGTGTGGTGTGTGTTACGTTGATACTCTGAATTAGGTTTGTGATAATGTCGCAGGTGCATCACTGCATCTAGGTTTTAGTGGCAAGCCATTTTAATGCATAGAGCAGAACTCTTCCTATTATTACTTTACTATCCTTATATTCACGTAAACTAATATCGAATGGCTTGGGTAGACAAAGAAAAAGAAGTAATTGTTGACCTAGGCATTGCACCTCTAAATATCTCCTTTAAAATATTATTCTTATCCAACAGTGAGTGACTATCACTTACAAACTGTGAATTCTCTAAACCATCTTAATATGGCTTGGACAGTATCTAGTCGGAAGCATCTTAAGCACTAAGCTCCACATCATTCTATATGTCATCACAGTGTGTAAGATTAAACATACCTTGTATAAGTTTACTACAAATGTCTTGCCGTTGCTCTTGTTTACGATTATATCTCATAAATATACATGTTGTCCTTACTGCAGCACGCTTAACTGGAAGAACCCTCTGTAGAAAGGAATATCATGTATTTGTTATTATCAACATAACATTCTTCATAATCCCTATCCCATCCTTATAATCCCTATTTTTCCCTATTTAATCCACACTCTCATTCTCATAATTCCCTCTCAATACTCATAATCCAGATCCCATACCCATAATAACTACAACATCCTCATAATCCCCACTTCATTCTCATAATCCACACACCCATCCTTATAATCCCCATCTTACTACTCATAATCCAGATCCCATACCCATAATAACCTCAACACCCTCATAATCCACACTCCTATATTTATAATCCCCATCTCAATACTCATAATCCAGAGTCAATATCCATATATTCATAATCTCCTCTACCATCCTCGTATATCGCCACCACTATCTGCATAAACGCCACCGTCTTCATAATAATTGTAATTGTTGTCATCATTTTCTTTGTCATCGACACTTTTTTCATTATTGTTGTCATCCTCATCCTCATCACCAGCATCATCCCAACAACAATCTTCATCTTCATCACCCTTTCCTGATGACCACACATTTCATGCATTATCATCAATGCCATAACCTAATCCTACAATTAACAGATTACAAATATAATATAACATGTCGCAATCAGATATTAGTTAATTGGTTCTCAAGTAGACAAATACAACAGAAACAAAGAGATTATCATTGATGTATCAATAACATTAATCATTCAACCACGACCATTGCCAGGAGATATTCTTTAAAAGCTTACTTTGTTTTTGTGTGGGATGAAACAGTGATTAATAACAAATGTATTTCTAGAGAAAGAGTAATGGGCCATGTCTTCCTGCATTAAATAATCAAAAAGCGTGTGATAAATTGTCATTCTAAATGACTATTTGTACAGAAACTTGTTACGATAAAGAAACGTACAGTCAACGGTCACCATTAATGCCATTATTCACAATGATCTGACATCAGCGAAACATATATTACATATAAATTAAAGGGCCATTACCTTAAGTTTGTATCGCGTCACACTTATGGCACATTTTCAAAACACAGTTGGAATGGATTTTTCAATGAGATACACCAAAGGCAACCGACAATAAGTCAGAAGACTTGCTTAAAGTGGGGTCATTCTGGTGGTGAATTAAGGAGTACATTAAAAGACAATCCTCTACTCTTTTCCAAAGAGTGTACAGCATTCTTATATGGGCCATATTTTGCACTCAGGAACATCACATTAAGCAGCTCATTTCAAACTTGCATTTCAACCCTCCAGTTGAAACACAACAAGAGCAATGGATAGAATCAAATCACCATTATTGATGGGTGGTTGGTTGGTATGCAATACAATACAAGGTGTAAAATATACTAGAATAAGTAGCCTAATGAATGATTATGAACTTGGATAACTGCCCCTTTAAGAACATGACCATTACAGGTCAGCAATTATGTGCATTCCACTCACATGAGTTGTAATGTGCTTAGTAACAACTGGAATAAATTTGCTGTAAATTTGATCACTAGTAAGGCACTTAGGAAGACAGGCGAGCTTTTCCAGCATGGCCACGTGAAGACGCCATCGTCTACATTGTGCGACGTTCAGTTCTGCTTCGCACAGTGCTGGAATTAATTCTGACAACCCTGATACCTAAACAATTAAAAAAAAAAGAGAAAAATTAAATATTAATATTAATATGATTAAATTGTATTATTTCTTATTCAATATACATTAAGAAATTGTAAATAATAACAGAATAACCAACATTATTCAAAAACTTACATTGGTATTGTACCTTTTTCATATAAAAATGTAAATTTATACTATAATATAATTATAACTATAGTGATTTAATTTCCACATGGTGTACATTTCTTCTCAATTCATACTACTATATCATTTTCGGGTCAAGGGAGATAATAACACTTGTATAAGACATTTCTTAATCATCTTGTAAACAACCTCGTTCATTTCCCTCATTAAAACAACATAACAACCACAACGAGCATCATCAGTATTAAATCACTAGTGCATTATGTTAAGTCATGCAGTGGTTTCACAAAATGAAACTAAATATATGCCGTATTCTCCATCTCCCATCAACACTTCCCTTGCAACCTGATACCAATCACCAAATTATAGAAAAGAGCTGAATAACATAATCCCCAGGTCCTCGGTTCAGACACAAAATTCTTTCTCAAGATAAAAAAGAGCTTCACTTCCCAAGCCTTATAAAGGGACTCGAAAATATCATTCCGTCCTATAATTACATCCTATAATGCATTGTGTATGTCATGCCATGGATTATGTCACACTGAAATTTATTCTATACTTCAATCCCTTTCTTTGCCGATGTCAACAATTCATGCAATACCTTAGTATTAAAATAAATTACTAGATTAGTGCGTAATGTTAAAATGGTAAACTGTAGCTTAACACTCTAAAACCTACACCCCCCCATCAATCACTCTATCTTCACCCCTACCGCTTCCCCATTTTAATCACTAAGCAAAAACTAACACCTACACCTTTCCCGTTTTAATCACTAAGCAGGAACTATCACTATAGAATAATGTTGGTATTGCATTCTTAATTTGATTCAATGAAGATAAGTTTCAGAAACTATGCCAATACCAAAAACGCTAAGCCTTACCTTTAGATTAAAATAAAAAATGTATACATGATTTGTACAGTAAAGTAATGAGGTTGTTGAATGAGTAGTAGACAAACTTTTGTGGTTCAAGTGCCTAGGGGGTTGCAATGCAGTAATGTGTACAATGATGATTTGTATTTAAGCAGTAGGAAGGATTTCTCACACACACACGATTTGTAAAATGAATGCAAAGAGAATGAGTGATTGCTTCTAATTTGTGAGTAAATCTGCACAGATAGGGTTTAGCTATTTATAGCTTGGTGAATTTGATGTTTGCCTTTTCTACCCCTATGCTTTGGGTTGCAGTAATGTTTATGATGATGACTTGTTTTTAAGTTGTGAGAAGCATTTCCACACACATAAGATTTGTAAAGTGCATGCAATGAGAATGAGTGATCACTTCTAATTTGTGAGTAAATCTGCAAAGGATAGAGTTTAGCTATAGCTTGGTGAATTTGGTGTTTGCCTTTCTTATCCTAGTGCTCTAGGTTAATAACCTACAAAAATTCCCTAAGCATCAAAATGAAACTTCAGAGCAAATATATATTTCTTCCGGGTGGATCAAAAAAAAATCTGGGTAGGGATCATGTGACATGTGAAGCACTAATCGGGGTGATGATAGAAGGGGTGGTGTTTGAGATTTTGTTTAGAAAGTTTAACTATAGACGCTAGTACACAGCTGGTACACAGAATTTAAATTTAAAATTTAGCTTTTTTTGAATACTGTACACTCTCTTCCTCCTTTCTTGTTTCTTGTCAAAGGGCCCTAGCCCAAATGGGCCCAGAATTCACCTTTGCTTTTTATTAAACAACTAATGCATTCTTGCCATTGGATTGAAGGAATTATATGATTCAGAAATATTTATTTTTTCCTTTGGCACAAAGTGACTTGCAAACACAAGGTAACAATGATGGAACATTGGCAAATGAGCATCACTCCTACATTCAATTACACCCATATAATTTAAAATTGCACATAAAATTAATAGTTTGTCCATTCATTAAAAAGTATATCAATTCTAAATAATGATACAAATAAACATAGTGTCCTAATTTCCATGTACGAGATATCTGGATCAGGAAAAATCTTGCTCAATGTTATATGATTTAATTTTAGTGATCATAAGTTGTGCAGCATCCTCCGATTGCAAACTCTATCTTATCAAATAATAACAATAAGTTATATAGTGCTATTTTAAGTAAATTGAAGTGATAAATATTTCCCTGGTCTATTTAATTCTATACAGATACTCATCAACGCCTGTTCAGCATCAGGATGAGGGCAGGAGTGTGAGACGGACCAGTACACTGGGGTGACCCCTTACTCGACTTGAAAGATGTACTGGGTTCTTTGTAGTGCACATGAGCCATTTGTGTACACTGGGCCTACAGTTTATAGTCTGTATCCAAGAAGACTTGCTCAACCTCCACAGCCATAAGCGAGCGTGCCGTTCAAACCAGTGCCTATATTATGCTGTAGGGTGCGGGTCCCTGCTTTAACCGCTTGGCCATTAGACTTGCATATTTCCCTGGTAGGTCTCTGGTGTGGTAACCAAAGAAGGCCAAAAATGTTTGTAAACTTACATTAAAAAGAAGCTGGAGAATAGAATACCAATATTTTTTTTTTCTTAATGCTGACTTTTGTCCAATGGGAATGTGGTAAATCAATTTTTATTTCAATATTTCTATTAGTTTTTTAATGTGGAAAATTTGTAGTAGCAACATCTAATATATTTTATCATGAAACATTACTTTACATTTCTTTGTGTATTTTACTATGAACATAAATGAAAGCAAAAAGTATAAGCAATTTTTATTTTATATATCTACACTTTGTTAATACTGACTCTTGTCCAACATGAATGTGGTAAACAGATTTCTATGGCCATAAACTATTAGTTTTCTAATGTGGTAAGATTGCGAAAGCAACATCTGATAAATTATATCATGAAACATTCCTTTGTGCATTTCATACTTTAAATGTAATTGAAAGCAAAAACTGTGAGCATTTTAGATTGTAGTAGAATAGAAACCACCAAAGGTACTTATTGGGACAACATTTTTCAAGCCTGTCAAGAAACACTTCATAGAAAAAAACTCCCTAAGTTCCTTGAAATTGTGAGGATGAATTAATCAGATGATAGGTAGTAATTAGTATGCATTGAAGGTTTTTATTTCGTGATAGGCGATGTAATTAGCTGTTAGCTAAGAACAATGAAGGCTAATAAACATAGACTGACTGCAATGCAATTGTCTCTATATATATTCAAATCAATGTCTCTATATATACTTCTATTGGAATAATACTGTTATTATAAACTTCCCTTTATAGAGATTTATAACTGGTCTTTATATGCCCTTAAAAGCAAAGCATTGACAGGCTTATCACCAGAGTCCTTATGACAATAAATATTGTGACAGCTGTTGATTTATTACAAATTGAAAATAAAGTAAACATGTACTAATGATGTGCCATAACATCAATATTAATATTTCAATTTCAATAAATGACCTATGGGATAAAGTGTATTGTGTATTAACAGTTAAGAGTAATGTCATGTTGTGGTTTAATTACAGTTGATTAATTTATAGACCATAATATTACCAATAAGGTTTATAATATGGTGCTTAAGGGCAAGGGGTGTAAATATAACAGAACCATATATAATAAAGAATTCAGATATTTTAGAATCGGTAGGAGAGTATTTTTTTTTTTTTTTTATATTCAACTTTATTTACTGAGGGTGACCCTAACAGCAATGTTGACTTAAAGGGGGCCCTAAAAAAAAATATCAATTTGAAATACAACAGTTAATAATACTTGGCATGAAATAAAAATTCAATTTACAAGAAAAACACTGGGCAAGAAAATGAAATAATATTTAATATTTAAAATTATTTAAAACTTGAAACAGCAAATATTAACAGATATATATATATAATTAAAATAAATAGTTTCTTGTTTTTCCTAAAATGTTGCAAATAAACAAAAAATTCAAAATAATTAAAATTTGTAGAATATTAAAATTATGATAATTACAATACTTACATCTATATTGTTACGTTTTGTATTATTACTATGATGTTTATTATGTCTTGCAGATCAATAGGGGATCAGAGGTAAAGTTACTTCAGCTTTACTGATTGCAAAGAGGAAATTTAAATGGTGTTGCATTACCCACAAATTGGCCACAAGACGACAAACATAAGATTAGTTCCTTCATTACATTAAGACCTAGGTTCTAGACTAGGGTTGGGCATAAAAATCGGTTGGAGGGCCAAATGAACTTTTGATTTAACACTGTGGGCTGCACCCAAACCTTGATGTTTACAGTGTGCTAACAAAAAACCTTCATGCACTGCTTTTATACCAGAATGCATAGATGAGAGTAAGAAATGTTTCATTAATTAATGCAGCTAAGATATAGTAGAAGTGTGTATAAAGAATTACCAGTCATGAAAAAAACAGACTTTTCGGAAAACATTTGTTGCGAACATCATAATGAGAGCCTCAGTTTTGCTGTAAGAGCTAACATCATAAAAGTTAAATAAATTAAAATAAAGTATTGGTAGAAGAAGTGTTCTCTACTCAATTTCTTGATAAAGTAAGATGATAATTTATTCAAATATACAAAATGGTTTTGTAGTTTCCATACAACAATACATCTTTAACAACTTTCCTTGAAACCTTGTTGTACGTAAAGAGCACTTGCAAAACAGTTTTTACCTTTGATTCTGTTACCACGTTGCCACTGCTCTTTGCAAACATCTGCAAAGTCTCGGGTAGGTGTGAAACCAGACCTTGTAACACCTGCAGGAAATGGAAAGATATTGACACTGATATCAGTGACATCACATGTATGTTTAAGTGACCTCGTTAATTTGCATAAACCCATCTAAAATGTTAATTACATCTTGCATAATTTAAGACTTCCATTTGATGACTGTACCATAAACTTCTACAACAAACAGTGGTGGCACCAGCTGAATGTCAGGGGTCAATCTCACCACGTCGTCTGTTGCCCAATGCAATGGTTGTCATCTAAAAATATTTTTTGGCCAATAACAAATTTATTATGATTGAAAATCCATAATATTATGGTCTAAAAGCATAAAATCTCTTCCTATGAACACTACCAGGGCTACGACCAAGGTTCTAGGCGGCCACTTGGTTTTGACCCCCCCCCCCCCCCCCCCCCCGACCCCCCCCCCCCCCTCCAAATCAGCAAAATGTTTTGAGCCAACACAGCATGTATAGTACACTAAAGGCACCACATCACAATATCATTGGTTTAGCTACACAGATCACATACACAAAGCCCTGGAGGAGTGTGCGATCACGCTACACATAGAGTTCAGTGCATTTATCATTCAATTCTACCATGTGCCATCAGTAAAGCCTGCTTCCACAAGATAAATTTATTCCTGCAAATGCATTTGTATAAATTGTAACAGAAGTGATTAATTCCAGCTATTTTGATCCATTGCCAAATTAGCGTGAATCTTTATAAATAACTGCTGTAAATCTGAGAAACCTATAGTATTGCATGAATAAATTTATATAATCATTTATATAATATAATAAAAGCAACAACACTTAAACAAATTTGTCAACCATTTTTCATTTATTGACAAATTAGTGTGAATCTTTAGAAATGTCTGCTGTAAATCTAAGATATATACAGTATTAAATGAATAAATTAAATTATACAATTTTTTATTTAATAGCAACAAAAACATGACCGACACTAAAACCAATTTATCAACCATGTTTGTGATCCGGTCTCTTAAGGTCATGGGTTCTATTTTTTCACTATGGAAACTTGCTATTGTCCATGAACAAATCCAGGAGTACAGTACATGTGTTGGAAGTGGGTTGGGAGTTAAATTTAAACAAGTTTCTCAAGTCAAAACAATTTAGAGTTGGCCCAAGATAACCCTATAAGCATTGCCTTTAAAGATTTTTTAAAAAAAACATCTTAAACAATTATTATTTTTGAAAAATTTAAAATCAATTTCGAAGCTACAGTATATGCTAGCTAAAAAAACTTTCTAACAATAGCGCAGTGAAATACAAAATATGTGAGGAATGATGCACTATCAATTATCTTCATTATTTTGAAAATATCCAGAATTAGTTTACTTCTTGTTAAACTCTGTCACTTTGTTCGCATGTTGGTCTGTTGCCAAGTTTAGACATGGGCTGCGAGCATGTTTAAGTAAACAGTTCTGTTTTGAGAGCCTGACAGGCTCACGGATATAATCCAGTAATATGTACTGTGAGAGTAATGAGTTAGAATGTGAAATGTTTATACTAAAGCAAGGAATTTTCTTAGCTTGAATCGGTATTTAGGCAAATGTTTTTGCTTGGTATGAAAGAAAAATCTAACTTAGGTAAAATCAATGATTTATAGCAAAGATTAAATGATATGTTTTTATATTCTTATAAATCTGGTTCTAAGTAGGTTTGTATGCCAAGATATTGATAATAGCTGCAAAATTATGGAATAGAGATCTAAGTGTGTGTTCTTATTTCAGTATTTGTTTGAATAATCATAGTAATTATTAAAAAAAGGGCCAGAAACTCCACGGCAATATCTATAAGACAGTAAAATCATCATTTTAATGTACTGTTGGAGCAAACTAACAAAAAAACAAAATGTAATTTGTGAATTTGACGCATATCTTCTAAGAAAGAAGCTATAGCTGCTTTCAAATAAAATATTCTTCAAATTTTAATTAGTGTAAAACACTTACCATGATTTCTTTCTCTCTTTCGTTCTAGATATAATTAATTCTTTAGGCTTCTTAGAAGTTGGGACTAATGTTACATAAAAAGTGCTGGAGTAATAAAATGCTGACTGATCGAGCACATTAACACCAAAACATTAATAATATCTAGGAGAGGTGGCTTTAGGTATACTTACATCGATGGATTCGTCTTTCAGTAAGTTGATTAATTCACCCTGTATCAGTGACACGTTATTACCTAAAAGCTTTGCAACCTAATGAGAGAAAAGAGGCATTCTATGATATCGAATGTAATTCATATAGTTGGAGGATGTAAAGAAAATAATGCTATAGTGGTTAACATGCTTTTAAACGCATTGGTACTGTATAATACAATAATATCCTAAGTTATCAATATACTTTAGGTGATGTGCTAAAAATTTCAATTGTTTGCAGTATCCACGGCTACTTGGGCATCGGATTCAACAATAGTCACTAACTGCAAGCTCAGTGGTCTAGTGGTAATGACACCAGACTAGTTATCTGGAGGTCGTGGGTACGATTCACACCCAAATCACATGCAAATTTTTTTTCGCAAGTATTTGGGAACGTACTGAGTATTCGGTACGATAACATGTCAGATATGGCAAAACGTCACTCCTATGAGCTTCAACTATAAACTTAAATATCTGAATATCTTACCGGTACTTTGTATTTATTTTTAAATTATTTTAATCAAAATTCAAACAATACATGGAAATTGTCTGAGATAATAATCGTGGACTATAAATATCTTCATTCCTTATATTGTATCTTTAAAAATGTAGCTTTTAATTGGAAATGAGAGAAAATAAATTCCTTGCCATTAAAAAATGATGTAAATAATAATGTTTTTATATTTTGTGTCCATTACACTGGTTGGTAATCAATTTAAAGAATTATTTTAAACTATTTCTCATTGGAAGTTGATAACTTTGATTATTTTCAAATAAGCAATTTAAGGTTTTAATTAAACCTTTTAGGTTTCTCCAAGATTTCTCTACAGAAATTTATCTTTAAGATAACCATGGATATTGAATTAGTTATAGTTACCTCATGGAAACCATTAGCAACGGTTGCCCTGACCATGGGGTGAGGGTCGTCGCAGAGACTGGCAAACGTTCCATGAAGTTCTCGTTTAAAGCTTCGAGCACCGGAAAATAAGACCATACACTGCGAAAAATAACAGGAATAACATGTGAAAATGGCAGTAAAGTTGCTTATATGGTAGTTGTGTAGTACGTAGTATTTTTAAATGATTTATATTAAGCATAAGATACAAAAGTTCTTGTGAAACTAGCCTCATTGAGAATAATTCAAGCTTCAATTGTTACTATATCTTACATACTTGTAGTGTTCCAAACCTCAACAGATACATAATGTTTTAGTTATATAGATACCTACAAACATTAGACAGGAAAAAAAATCAGGACATGTGATTCTTAAACATATAATATTCGGTAATCTTTTAAATAGTAGTTTTCTAAACTGATAGTTTCAGGCTTTCTCTGTTGTTTTCCTTTCTTTTCCATTAAGAAAATTTGAAAAATGTTTGGGGTTAGAAAGCTGGAATCAGAAGTGTCTTAATAAAATTATGCATTAACTCCCTCCGAATTTGACATGGAATAGTATTAGAATCCATTCAACTTAGCGTCAATTAATCTTCTTGCTGTTACAAGTCTTGGTCGCAACTACTGTATAACGTTCCAAGAGGCCAATATATATACTTTCATTGAAAATATTTTACTTACTGGAAAATTATACGCTGATGCTATTCTGCACTCTATGTATCTATCTTGATCAGTGTAAATTGGTAAGACTGGTGGACTCTGCAATATAACAACACACAAAACATATTAAAAATATCATTCTTACATACTTTGATTAAGAACTTATAATAATGGTATAATGATTCAGGATATTAATGCCGATGACATAGTTGATGGTGATGACAGGATTTTGGTGATAATTACGAAACTTATAATATCATTATGAATGTGGTTATGAACATAATCATGATACAGACATAATGATTGCAATGATAATGATTATTGTACAATGATTACAATGCTAAAAATGGTGATGATTTTGATGATCAATGATGATTACAATGATGATGAATATCATAATAAAAATTATGATTATTGTGACAAGACATTGGTGATTAATTTGTTGATGGGATAATGATAATGATAATGGTTACAATGTTGATAATGATTATGATGATGAGGATTTAAGATAATCAAAGTGATAGATAGTGATTATGATAGCAGCAATGCTATTTTCAATCCTAACAATGGAGACAATTTTGATCATGGTATGATTAGATTGATGATGATGATGATGATGATGATGATGATGATGATGATAATGGTGATTGATGATGTCAGCTGATGTGGTGACAACAATGTTTGAGATTATGTTGATGATCATTAAGATGATGATGACACCAAAGATGACAGTGATACTAAGGATACAATATAATCAGATATTACAATTGAAGACTTAAATATACTGTATGATTTAAATAAGCCCACTACAATCACGATCATATGGAAACCAAATAATTATATATGAAAAGTGATTTAACAGTGCACATCAAAGTACATCATAAAAAAGTGATATTTACAGTATAAAGGTTAAAGGTTAAACATGAAAATCATATAATATTGGTGTTGTGTTGCTAAATATATGAAATATAAGAAAAGTGAAACACACCAAAATAAATAAAAAAATGTATTCTTCCTTATTAATCTATTATTGATTTTAAAAATAAATATTTAAATGAAAAGTTAATATTATTTTACGGTATGTTAGGTTCAATTTAATTTTCAAATGAATGAAAAACTGCAATCTGGGTAACATATCATTAGTTATGTGTATAAAAATATAATAGTATTTAAACTACTTTATAATTAAGTATAAAACATACTCCAGATTGTCATTAATAATACATTTATTTTCTGTTAAATGGACTCCAGCACCAGTACGAATTATTTAATTTGTGTGGGTTCATGTGTATGTGTACATGCGTACGTGTGTACTTGCAACTGTGTTTTGTAGTAGAATTTTTAAATTATTTACTATGTTATATATATTTTGTAATTGATTTGTAAGATTATTAATTTTTGTGTTAAGGGCACCACAGTTCAAAAGCTTGTAGCATGTTTGTACAGGTCCTTTTTTTTCACACATACTGTATAAACATTGTATATTCTTTTATGTGTTGGCATTTTGATTTAGTGTGAAAATAAATGATTACTCAGAATCTGTAGACATTTGACATAGACAATTAACCAGACATAAATTGGAAGGTGAGGTTATGTGTCATTACATTTGGAGTGTTTTTATACTTAATCATTATTGTTCACAGTTAAGGCCTATTTCCACTTAGTGAAGAGTGAAACACCCAAAAATTTGACCTTGCAGTATTTGACCTCTGCTCACAACCCTCTTTATTAAATGTTGGCTCAGTACATTACATTTAGTGGAAATAGGCCTGTAAACTACACATCATGTTTAAAAGTTATATATAGTAAAATACAAAACCACATCAAACACTTTCCCTCATATACATACACACAAGACATGAAGTGAAGCTAAAAACCAAAACATATGTGCTGTGAACTTATCCTATTAGTCAAGTCACCTTCGTAGGGGCTGGCGGATCTTTTGCCTTGAGCAAAATAAATTGGAATGATAATAATAGGAATAGATAAAAAGACAAACATTATATGAAGAACTATAAACATTCTTATAATATTAACACGATCAGTATTATAATCAATAAACAATAATTAGTGATTAATTCTAGTTTTATCGCGTTCAGGAAGAGCAAGACAATTGGATCTGTGTTCCCTTGATTATAATAATGAAAAAAAGCTGTTTAGCTGGAAGGAAGTACAAGTCTGAAGGTTGTTGAATTATTTCTGCTTCTCACCTGTCGGCCATTATCCTTATTCTTACTACCAAGACCAAGTACGCAGAGTTTGCAGTAAAAACTCATCATCCATACCTTCTGTTCATCATTCAAGTTCACTACAATGAAAGAAACCAGTGCTTTATAAGCATGTCATTAATATTTACAAACAAAACCAGTTGTTAAGCCTGGGTTCCTAATGTTGATAAATGCAATTATTGGTTACTATAAATCATATGTCATTGATATTGAGAAAGAAAATTGGTGGTTAACCAAATGTTGTTAGTGATTAGTTGACTATTAAAAGAAACCAGTAGTAAAACACAGTATGTTGATCAGGCTATGTTTACACACAAGAGGATGACCAAAAACCACATGAATAAACACATTTGAGAGGGACACTTAAAAGAAAATAAATAATTCCATGCACATACTGGCTAAGATCACTCTGTCTGGAGAAGTCTTGTTGAGTCTGCTACATAATTTACAAGAACAGGTAAATTTTAGTAATTAAATAAATCAGTAGGCATACCTGATAAGCCGTGACATAATTTTCCAAACTGTCTCGACACAGTTGGTAGGGTGGCATCCTCCAGTACCATGGCATTCTCGCAGAATTTACAAACCAGCGGTATAATGGTCTGTGTACATGTTTCTATAAAAACAAATAAAAGTGAAGGATATCTGAAGATCATACTGTTGTACTTACTGTATGTTATAAATAGTTAACAATATTTCAATTTGACTGTTGCTAAGCAACATAAAACAAAATAAACAACTATAGAGATACACTACATAAGTACAAGCTAGTAAAGTAAACAAATGAACTACTGTATTTATCATGCTACTTCAAGTGTGTGCTATACAACATTGGCTTCAAATATCATAAAGCTAGGCATTTCAGATTTATGTCTGAAGTATAAGACCTAACAATGTTTGAAAAAAAAACTTTTATCTCTGATAAACAATACATGACCTCTTTCAATTTTGGAAACTACAGTAAGAATCGCGGGGAGTGCTCTTTGAAGAACGCAGTGCCTGCGAGTAAACTACAGGGCTAGACGCAGGCAAAATCAACACACATATATGTTTGCTTATTCCAAAATGTGGAAACTGCGGGCACTGCAGGCACGATAGCCACCTGCAAAAGCATGCAGCAGCTGTTTTGACAGCGTGTTTCATTTGTGGATGTGAATCGCGCTGCCCACAGGCAAAGTGCGACAAAAATTGCAATGCCTGCGATCGGTACAAAAGTTGCAACAGCACTGTCATGTTCTTTCTAAAATTTTGACTGCATGCATTGCAGCCTAGTTTTGACAGTGCAGTTAATTGGTCGATATAGAAAATATAAACATCCACCGGTCTCCATCGTTGATTACTTGTAATGCAGTTGGCTGATTAATTATGTGCACATAATATGGAAGTGTGTGAGAGAGAAATTTTTACAGCAAAAACACATCAATGTATAACACTTTAAAATAGAAATGCATGCACAGTTGAAAAAAAAATGTAAATTATTTCATCTGTGTGGATATTTCAACACATTGGTGAGGGGACAGTTGCTGAATAAAATGACATCATATGCCCATCAACATAACATATAAATCTCTAAAGACTAAACCTTAGAATTTACCTATTAAAAGTAAGGTAAAGACTAGAATTCAATCACAAAAGAGTACATAGCAAAACGATATTATAATTTATAATAAAGGTGAGAAACTGTGTTACAATAGCCAAGAAAAAGTGATAGACCGTCAATAGCTGTAAGATAGAGTAGAGTGAGATTATTTTACAGAAACTGAAAGATAGGAGGCGAGAGATTATCAGTAGAAGTAGAACAAGGCAATTCAGACTATAATATCTGTATACAGAAAAGAAATGACAGACTGTGGTACAATAACTCTACAGATGCTATTAAAGCATATATAACTGTGCTATAATAATAACCAAAATAATAATCAGAAAATGAAATTGAAATTAAAAATTATTAATAATAATACACAAAAAATATGGGACTTGCCATTCCAAAAACAGCTTCAGTGAATAAAACAAGAAATTTGACTTCTTATATTCATATTCTGCACATTATAAGCTTTAATTAAATTGATAGGTCATTTACAGCAATCAATTTACTATTGCCAAAGTTATGAGTAAAGCTATAACAGCTTTTCTGTACTAAAGTATACAATACTTCCACATTCTTATGATAACTACTCAGTTTAACATTAGCGACAGTACGCTGTTTTGGTAAGGCAAGCCTCATATGACTTGGTTACAAGTGGTCTTCCAACTACCTTGTGAGAAAAATGCATTCTTTGTGATGCCTTGGTATAATTAAAATAAGATATACAAATTATAGGATTAGTTTTCAGCCACAATTATTTTTATGTTAATATAAAAATTTAATATTAGAATAATATGTTGGATACTGCTGCATTAAATTTAACAGTGAAAGTGAAAGAAATATTATGAAAACATGAAATTCAAAGAAAAAATAAGATTAGAAAATGACATACCATACATTTGATGATGAATATCATTAGCAAATAATCAATAGTATCAGATAGTATGTAAGGAATACTGTAGTATAAATTTGCCAAATACAACATAATAGTTCTGATAAGAATTGATGTGTTGAGAGTATCTTCATAACACAATATCAATTTTGTGTTAATTTATTCTTGAATTAGGTTATTCTGATAGGTACTTTGTACAGGAACCTATTCCTCTTGTTACCTATCAGTCTCTTGAGTTAAATAAAATTATTATGAATTATTTTTTGGATAGATTGATCTACTCGTCTTCAGAAGAATGAAGCGTCAAGATATTATCAACAACACGCAATTTTTTCTCAGAACTACCCTATTTACGGAGCGTGTACACAAATTTATGCTCTTGTTTATCACCATGCAAACAATGTATTAGGAACTTTATGATTAAGAATGTAGGGCACTTGATCTGTATTATCAGTAGAATGGTAAATGTGTGTCAATTCTATATTTAACTACAATCTACTGTAAATAGGAATGAGAGGTATATCTTGAAGCTCTTATACCTGACATGTGTGTCTATACAATAGGCATATAATTAAACTGGCTAAAGATGGGCAAAATCAGATGTTTGTTTGTCAAAGTTATTTTGATGCATGTATCATAAATATCTGATCAAGCAAATGCATTTACTTAGACAATGCTTTTCTTCACTGGTATTAAACCCCAGGACAACAGACCAACTCTGGCCCGCAGGCCAATTTTAGTCAGCAGGCTATTACTCTGGACAGCAGGCCAACTCTGACCTGCCAATGATTTTGATATGATCCACAACTTTTTTCTGTCAGAATATAGTACAGTAAAACGTCTATTTTACGAATAGTCGATTTTACGAATGATCTTTCCCCCGATGACATCATCACCGATCAATTAATTACCATACAAAAAAGTCTGATTGCGCACGTTTTAAAAAGTGATAATGTTTATTTTTCTTAATAAAATCAAGTTTGTTGTATTTATTTATTAATAGTTTGATCTTTTTTTCCATTTGTAGTATAATAATCACTATATGTAATAAACCTAACCAGAATAACGAACTACCAACGCACGTGATGTCAGATTGAGAGCACGTTTACGATTACGAACGAGAATGTTGGGTCACCAACTTGTTGACATCGTGGATGCTAGATATGATCGCAAAATGCATGTAAACAATAAAATGTGGCGATCTAGCAAATAGAAAGAACATGATAGGAAGGTTCATAAAACATACAGATGTTTGAGTAAGAGTTAAAATAACATTTTGTTAAGTGGAAGAATGCCAGCTATTAAAATAATTTGGTTTTTATAGAAGGTACTGTAAATTTAGCTAGGCTCTATGCGTGATAGACCACGCTGCTGCACTGTCAGTTCATGCTAGGCCTGGCCGACGTCAGCCTATCGGTGCTCAATGGCAGGCGATTGCTAGGCCTAGGTATTAGAAACTGACACACAATCTAGTTTACAAATTTTTCAACTTATGAACACCCCTTGGTACAAAGGGGTACGTAAAATGGACGTTTTACTGTAAGTAAGATTGATTTTTCCCATGGACAAATAGACAAGAATTATTCAAAACCTTGCACTTTACAAGAAAACTTAAAATTAATAAACATTAATGACCCAATCAACTTTTAGAGTGAATGTAGTAGTGCTGCCAGCCACTGCATACCTCCAACCTCCTCCAAAACAAGAGTGATCATATTTGAGATATTATGAGTTGATATGAAATGGAATAGACAAGGTTGTCATTTGAATAATTCAGATGAACAAAATTATATTAACTCATCCCTGGCTCCAACAGAGCAGTTCTGGCCACTAGCTTAAGGGTTAAATAACCAGGCACTACATTCCAAGTCTTAAAAACCATTGTTCATATAGTCTGTCAGACAAAATACGATTTGAAGCTTTAGATGTATACACAATTAGGTTTTGTTTGTATCTTGAATTAGGTCAGTAGAGAACTATATTAAAGCCTGGGCAAACTTATCCCAGCACTATACAAACACCACCTTTCAAACATATATTTGGACAGCGATCAATAAAAGCATTTCTGCATGAAAAGGGTTGATTCTGAAGTTATTTAAGACTTATTCACACCTTACAATATATCAAACGATCGCTAAAGATGGGTAAATATGACGATTACTCACCAACATCAATAGGTTAGACGTATTACTAGCCTCTGAATAGTAATCTAACACTACATAATCTTTTAGTGGACAAGAACACTATTATTGGCATTAATGTATTTGTCTGACAGATACATAATTTCCAACCTTTCTTAGTTACACTTTACAATCTATTAGCCTGTCACTGAGGTCATGGAAAATGATAGCTTCCTTACACCATGCACACACTGCACTGACGGTCATAAGCCAACACAGCTCTATGAAGAAAGTAACGCGACAAGGCATGTGCAAGGGATCTTTCTTAATAAAAAGCTACTTAGACACCACAAACTAACACCAACAATCAACAGACTGTTAAAAGCTGTCGAGATTTTGACAAACAATTGTTATATGCCCGAATATAGTCATATGCCTATATATGGTCATGATGTGATGTCACCATGACCATATTTAGGCATATCACATGTTCTTGCCATATGAAATCTGATAATCTGAACAGGCCTTAACAGAGAGTAAAGATTGATTCGTCAATGGTCGTCAGCTGATGTAGTGTGTGCTTGGTTTTAGAAATGTATTGTCGATTAAAAAATAGCAAAAAACAACAATTAAAAAAAAAATTTTTTTGAATAACTTCCTCATTCTGAAGTAGCATAAAATATAATTGATCATAGAAATTGGAATATTTAAGTAATGCTAACTCTTAATTTTATCATGGATAATGAGAAAACCATTACTTTTCTAGAATGGAAATGTTTCTATCATTTTTTAGCATTATATAATATTTTAAAAATACACTATTTCTATTTCTTATACTACTGTATGCTCCATTGGATATTTATGCTTAATGAAATGCGCAAAATTGCTTTTATTTACAATTTTTTAGTACTGTTTTGGGGATATTTACATTCTTGCTTACCGTAAATTCAGGTAAATATTTTATCCTTTTCTACAATATTCAAGATATTAATTTACAACCTTTAAATGAACTAGGCTACTTTTCTTAAATTTGATTGGTAAATATGACGATTATTTACCAACATCAACAGGTCAGGCATATTATTAGCCTCTGAATAGTAATCTATTATTGTCATTAATGTATTTGTCTGACAGATACCTTCCACAAAGAGGCCAAACTATGCAAAGCTGTACATTTATGAGAAAGATCATGAAAGAATTCAGTAGTGACAACATAGTCTGGAATTTCCTATCAAAATCTGGAGAATTCTTCAGCACTGAGTCACTATTGCAAAACACTGCCAAAATAAAACTGGTTTTTTTTTTTGTTTTTTTTTCCATTGGATGTTTTAACACTTTACCACATGATTTATCGGCTTTTTTATCAACTACATAAACTTGGTAATTGTAGAATGCGCCTACTACATGAAGCTGAAACCTCCCAAGGACCAAAACGCAACCTATTGTTTTGCGACAATTGTTTTAAGTTACTAGAGACCTATGACACTACCAATATACTGTACTACTACAAGCGATGAAACATTTACAATGACACAGTAAATGGTACATATTATTTTACTACACAGTACTTGTTGAAAACATTTCTGGGGACCTATTAAAATGCTTCATATTATTTTACTACACTTGTTACCAAAATTTACTGGTATATATTAAGTAGCTACCTATTTGGCCTAAAATTAAAAAAAAATAGTTTGCTATCAATCGCCGCACCTAATATATACTCAAAAACCTAGAGGGGTTTTGACAAAAATCCTCACTTGAAAACTTTTTTTTTTTAAAAGTTTGTATACATATAGACACGTTTTTTTTTTTCAATAAGATGTCACCACCAAAAAAGTTTGCTAACACATGAGTTATTTTAATAAGCGTGAAGCTCATCTATTTTTCTCGGTGAATACAACACACATTAAATTAATATTTTACATTTTTAATTTAAAAAAAACTAAAAAAAAAAAAAAAAAAAAAAAAACATTTTTAAGGCTTTGTCTTACCACACTATCTTTAACATTTCAAGGGACCAACTAAATATCTACCTAGTTATTGTTGTTTCCAAACATTTCTGGGGACCTATTAAAAAGATAGCAATTTACTATACTTGTTTAAAAGAATTCTGAGAATGGTAAACATACCTATTATTTTACTATACTTGTCTGAAAAATTCCTTAAGGGACCTATAATATAAAGCTACATACTATATATCTCAACCTGTTTAAACTTCCCAGGGACCTATTAAAAAGCTAAATGTTATTTATTTACACTTGTTTAAATATACTTTATTGTTTATATATATTTACTAATTTTATAAAATACACTTTATTATAACATTTCCAGAGCTCAAAACATTACTTATTATCTCACTACTAAACATTTCCATGAAAACAAGTTCATTTTTTGTTTTTAATTTTTAGAAAGCATCTCTCTTCAATAAGAGTGTCTCTCCTTAATAAGCACCGCACTGAATCCTCAAAAGCTCCATGGGACATACTTATCATTCATGGTACTTACAGTATTTACTGTGAATAAACTTAGCGAGCTTTACCAGTTAACATTACATTAAAATAGTCAGAATTCATATTTTGATCATGCACAATAAATAGACGTACTTAAATCTAAGCGAGATCCAAGCGCTAAAAGCCGGACACACGCTGTGTCAATTGACAATCGTTGGCGCAGTGTGTGCCTCACTTTCAAAAAAAATTTTAACCAAACGTACCATCATCTAATAGACTAAGCAGATTCACTATGGTTTCCAGCGCCGCCAAGCGTACACAGCTCTCCTCATCATTACTCAGTTCCACCAGCTCGGGCAGGATTGCACTCTTTGTTGGCTCTAGTCTGTGGGGAGGAATCATAATCCTATCTATATGTTCCATTTTAGGATTAATCACAAGCTGTCTTTTGAAATATTGGCAGCAGGTAGAAATTGACTGGAAATCATTCTTGCACATCATTATTACAATACGTTATTAAATTATTCTACTAGATACACGCTAAAATTAATGGAAATGAATTAAAATAAAATCAGTTATTTAATAAGGGATAAACATGAAATAGATATTCTGTATCAATCCTAAAAAAAAAAAGAAAAAAGGAAAGCACAATAATATTTCAACAAAATATACTAAATAAAAATACAGACCTTGATTTTAAGAGTCTACAAGTATATCTTAACAAGAGATGGACTACAATGATGCAGGAAATATATTTTTCAATTAATTTATATAATTTCCTCATTTTATATCATTTAAATAGATTTTATAGTATAGGGCATTTATTATAAACATCATTTTATATAACAATGATGTGTATTTCTTTTTTTTTATAATTTTTAAATCCCTAGAATTCCTGTTACAAAGTCTTTTTTAAAGGTTTTATAAATCAATCAAACAAATTTAAAATCATGAATAAAAAACATTTTAACAATTTATAAATAAACAAATAAATATACAAATGGCTGTGACTTAACAGAAATAGCATTCTGAAATTTATTTTGTATCTGTTAAAAGTTTATTAAAAGGTTATAATAAATCTGAGAAATTTTTTTATATCAAAAAAATTTTAAATTTATTTTGTATCTATTAAAAGTTAATTAAAAGGTTGAAATAAATCTGAGTGAATTTATTGACATCAATTTAAATGTCAATCTTGTTGCAATAACTGTTATTTTATTAATTCCTTAATGAATCATTTGAATGTTATGTGACAAATTAAATCCAAAGTCACTAGATGCAGAATACAGTACCTCTGGACCCTATTGGAAATAATTCTTATGTTTAACGCTAGGGCTTAATGGTTCATCCAGGCATTCAGAATAAATTTTTCATCACTTCCTATTTTTATAGTTTTGTAGAGAATACCTCATACATTATTTGTGTCTTTACTCCTTTGAGCAGAGCTCATAGACATTTAAACAGGGGTAGCGCTGCAGGAAAGTATGTCCTTCTAAAGATACATTTATTTTAAAAACGATGACGACATGATGACACGATAAAAATGCACTCAGTGTTGAAGAATACAAAATGTTATCGTGCCTATTGTAAATGTAGCCTTCAAAAACCTATTATCCACTAGGCGAATTTATTCGAGCAAATTAAACCTGTCGTTTGCTTCCTGATCTCTGACTGGTTGTGCATTTTTTCGCTTCGCAAAAAGTAGAAATAGTTCGAACTACTACTGTAATTTTGCTGAAGCGAAAAACTCCCAATATAAATGTGGATGCGAATGTGCACGAACCAATGCTTTTGATTTGCGCGAATAAATTTGCCGAATGGAAAACAGGCTTTACGGAGAATGAAGAATCTTCAAAAATCTGGAGATTTACCAAAAAAATCTTGAGGTTTCCAGAATTAACAAAAAGATGATGCAAGATACCAAAAAAGTCACGTCACTACAAATCATTGGCCGTTGGTGGTGACATTCGAATTGAAAATGGCTGCTTATTTATTGCACCGCGAATTGAATAACGATCAAATTAAATTATGCATAAATCGGAGTATTTTTGGGGAGGGGGGGATGGCCTGTGAAATCGGGTGAAAATTACATTCGATCTGGAGAACTGGAGATTTGTTTAAAATCGGGTGACACCCGAGAAGTTCGGTTGAGTTGGCAGGTCTGGTGTAAAAACATATGCAAAACACATGTGTATGTGGGACAAGTATGTATGAGACATGCACGTATTAATGCCTGTGTTCTGATTGGTCAGTTAGTTTGCTTGACATTCCAGATAGGTCCATTGATCTTTACTTTGAGTGTGTGTGTTATTGAAATTTAACAAATATTTTTAAAATCCTTTTAACAAACGTAAATCTATACTTTTAATGCCAAATAAATAATTAAAACTTCCTTGTTCTGTTCCTAAAAATGCCTTTAACAAAATGCATTCTTTATCCACTGTAAGCCTCGGTGATTGGTTACACTTACCCTAATCCCCTAGCAACTGCGTCCAACTGCCGACACATACACGCTCTTACTTCATACTCAATGTCTTGACATAGTGAGGTTACAAGAGGTAACAGATCTTTCCTAATCCTACAAAATAAAAAATAATATTCTAAAATGTGCTTCTTACTTAAATTTAAACAAAATAACAAATTGTGTTAATCCTATCCAATTAAAACATTAATTTTTTTAGATTTTATTTCTATATATATA